GGGTTCCTAAAAGAAAATGTCTTCATATGTTTGATTGGTGACTGCTCCTCTGACAACCCAGGGATTGTTTCTAAAACACTCTGAATTCTGTGTCAGGAGTCTTAAGTCAAAGTCAAAGTCATCTTTTTTTTTTTGAAAAAAAAAAAAAAAAAAGACTTATTTATTTGTGCATAGAAGAACTGGGGTGTAGGCCAGAGCTGTGGGGCAGGGGGTGGGGGAGGGTGAGAGGATTCACCAGAGACAGAGTGGGGGGCAGAACAGCCAGATCTTCTGAAATACACTGCTGAGGGGAGCAGTGGGCGAGACAGGAGAGGTCCGCTGCGCCATGTGGGTAGCTCGCTGGCCGGGGATTGAGCTCAGGCCACTGAACTCTGGCCACAGTGGTGATAATGTGATAGCTCTGAGACTTAACCCCTACGCCACCAGGGAGGCCCCCAAAGTCAAAGTCATCTAAACCATTTGTGTCACCATTACTTTCCAGGGAGTAGATGCATAATAAACATGCGTGTTAAATGAATGAATGGGTAGAATAGTCATCTCATGGAGTCAGGTTCACATTGAAAAAAAGACTCATTTGGATCGTTTATCCTGGTTACCATTAAAGATGACTGATTGCTTTGTGTGCGGCCAGACTTTTCAGGAGTTAAGGATTTTACCTCCCAAATATTAAAAATAATACTTCTACCTTCTCTAAGGGAGGGTGAGGGGAAGCTTACGGAAGACAGTGTGTGTTCCGTTTCTTGAAATGTCTATAACAGATCTCAGTTACTGCATGTTAACCTTTTCCATGACAAAGTCAAGGCTTCTCACCTTCAGCGCTGACATTTAGTGCTAGATAATTCTTTGTGGTGGCAGCTGTCTTGTACTTTGCAGCAGCATCACCAATCTCCCCGCCCCCCAGTGACAACCAAAATGTCTCCAGGCACTGTCAAGTATCCCCTGAGGGGTAGAAAATTACCTAGGTGGAGAATCACAGTTCTAACCTAATATTAAAAGAAGAATAATTTTCCTTTTTATTCAAAGCTACAGAAACAGGCTTCAAGAAAGAGCATATGTTCCTCAATTCTCTTCAGTTCATTGTTGAGGACTTTGGCAGTGACAGCTCTATCTATTTGAAATGACTCGGTTCACAAATCCTCATTATTTTAGACCAGTTTTCTCCTTGGAATAACTTTATCCTTGGAGGTACAAATTCACATACTCTAAGCATCTTTTTTACACTTACCGTGCTCTCCTACATTGACTCAGCACTGAATTTCGTTACAAGGCATTTTTACTTACTAATTTTCGAAATAAGACCTATGCTTGTTAAAGGAACTCTGCACGAATATAGCGTTAGTACTAACAAAAGGATTTTAATCTACTTCATTAAGATATTTACCTAGGTAAAAGTTGCACTAAAATAAAATGTACTAGTAGCCCTTTTTACATCCCATCTCAAGTGTCTGCCCCTGAAAAGAAAGCCGTCATTGCTTCTAGAATTTACTTTCTGGTATCCAAAGAATAATATTTATTGATTTATATTAGCTGTTTTCTTACTGTTAACTCATTCAGCATTATTTTAACATTCCCTCCCTTCTGCTCTTCCATATTCTCAATATAAATATACATATATATGTTTATATATCATTTCTACTTCAGTCACCAGTATTTAGTGATGAGCAGACTTCCTTGTTGCCATCCTTTGCTAATGTCCCCTTCTTGTCCCGTGGGCGTGTGCTTTAAACATTCCTTTCTTTTTCATTTACCGATGTTTTGAGAGGGAAAGGAAATGAAAGGATATTGCCAGCACGCATTTAACAGAAAACTAAAACTATTTTTGAACACTGTTAAAGATTACATAAAAATATAAGATTACATAGAAATATCTCAGAACTTCATTACTAGAAGGTGAAACCCCTACATCACCCTCACATCTTGCATTTAGCATAAACGAAAGCTAGGAACTTTGTTCTAGTATTTAAGAAATATATACCTTCCTTTCAGTTGGAGCTGCCATCTTCCAGTAATTCATCAAAATGGCCAATACAACATCAGGGCACCTGCTATGTGCTCGCTAGGCCTTTTAGAAAACATGCAGGCGTTCCTTTGGGCACACATATGCGAATCTACAAGAAAGGGGATATTGTAGTCATCCAGGGGACCAGCACTGCTCGAAAGGGGATGCCCCACACATTACCATGACACAACAGCATGCTGTTGGCATTGTTGTAAACAGAGAGGAGCAAGATTCTTGCCAAGAGAATTCATGTTCGCATTGGGTGTATGAAGCACTTGAATTGCTGAGAGAACATCTTGAAACATGTGAAAGAAAATGATCGGACAACAGGGGCAGCCAAAAAGAAAGGCACTTGGGTTAGCCTGCTCCACCAGAGCAGCACGCTTTGTGAGAACCTAGGGAAAAGAGCCAGAGCTGCTGGAACCCGTTCCCTATGAATTCATGGCATGAGAGGTGCAGAGAGAAAAAAGGCCTCTGAGTGTTAAAAAAAAAAAAAAAGTATAAAATCTAAGTTTTAATTTTTCATAGAAAAATTCTTTGTGCCTGTATTACGAAGAAATCAGAACAGCCAGATAATAAAAGGAGAGGATTAAAAAAGAAAAAAAGATACCCTATTAATAAGACAGATGAAGAATAAAGAAGATACTAGGTGAGAAGAAACATGCATATAACATGTATATAACAAAGCCCATAATTTGGAAATCGTGGGAATCAAAGTCAAGCAGTTAATTACTAACAAAGACAGCTCCCTTTGTCTTTCACCATGAACTCACAATTAGCACTTAATACTGAGACTGGGGAATAAACCATCTATAATCTACTGGAAAAAGACCATCTGCTTCTATAAATTTTGTTCTTATACACTTGCCAAAAGAAGAGAACATATTAACAAAATAATGGGCCCTGCACTGTTAATTGCTAGGTTGTTTGCAGTTGTGCTGTTGCTATTCGAATTTAATAAGCCATTCCTTCTGCTAAATTAATAAGCGGCCAAGATTATGTAATAGCTGCTTTCAGCTGCTAATTATTTTTCCCATAATTCCTTTCCCTCCCTACCCCCCACCCCCACCTTTTTTGGCTAGGCGCACCCAGAGCCTGCCAATATGTCATCAGTCTTCCATCCTCATTTTCAGAACCACACACCAACATTAGGAGCACGACCGATGAGTTTAAACTTAGAGGTGATTACCTTAGGAACCTTGAAAATATGTTTTGTACGGAAAACGAGAAAAGCAGCATTTGGAAACAGAGGATGAGTTTTCATTGCATAGTATTAGATCTATCTTTCACTGGCTAATGTGTGTAGTAAGAAAGCAATGGGACATTAACATGTGCCTTTGGGGCATGATTGGTGAGGGAGCCCAGAGAAATTTGTGGGGGTGGAGGCTTGAGCTCTGCAGAAAGCCAGTTCTGTGCTGTGTCCACCACCTATTTAATATTCCAGTATACATTAATCATGCATATTAGCAGGAAACTCTCCGAGCACCATAGTGCTGAAAAGGGAAGGTATTACACATTTTTATTTTGCCAGGTTAAGGGGATTTTTAAAGATGTCCCCAAATCCCTATTATATACTAGTTTAGCTTTGTAGGTATTTTAACACAAAGAATACAATTCCTAATAAAGGATCGCTTTAGACTGATTAAATTTAGGTTTATGGAAAAACTTAGCATTTCTTTTTCACTTTGGGCCATTAAAATAATCTGGCGATTACGGGAACCTCTGCCACAGCTCAACAGAAGCAATGTACTAGTTTTTCTAAGAACGCAGGTGATGGGGTAATGAATAGCATTCGACATGAGAAACCCGTGGCTCTTCAAGCAAGGTCACTTAATCCCGTGGGGCTCCCCTTTTCTCATCTGTAAATGATAAGTCGGACAACATGACCCATTCATGCTGTCATTCCCCCCAAATATGAACGTGCCAGGGGCTAGGCTCAACTCTATGGCTTTTAACAAATCTATCGTTTCATAGTCCTTAGCGGTCAACTCACATTTATTAGATGTGTCATCCACCAGGCAGCGAACTAGGTGGGGATGCAAAATGAATACAGTTCAAGACGTGAACTGGGCTAGTGGGCACATGGGTGAAAGAAGGATCCGGTCTTACGGGGTTGGAGGGTGAGGCTTCAGCGGCGCTGTGGCATTTGAGAGCAAGAGCCCGGCAGGCAAAGCAAGTCGTCGGCACGACTAAACCGGACCCCGGGAGGCGGGGGGCAGGGGGCACTTCGTGTGAAGAAGTGGGCTTTCGAAGGTGAGGGGCTGTGAGGGCTTTTCGGCAGAGCGGACAGTCCACGAGCAGGTCCGCCGCACTGAGGATGGGCGACGCCAACCCGGGGAAGAGACACCGGCACGGGCCGGGGCAAAAAGAGTGTAGGCTGCCGCAGTGCGAAGGCAAGGAGGGGCAGGATTCCGGGCAGCTGAGGGGGTGGGGGGTGGGGGCGGGCCGAGCAATTGCCCAGGGGACCCTGAAGGCGAGCCCCTAGCTCCACGGAAGCGCTGGCTGGTTTGCTCCAGCGGGGCCACCAGTGCTCGCGCCCCTCACCGTCGCCGCCGGCCGTCACAACTCCCCGGCCCGTCCCCGGGGGCACGCAGAGCTCCCGGAGCCCGAACTGGCTCTGGGCGGTCCACGCCTTCCGGGCACGCCCCGCGGAAGCCTGCCCTCGCGCCCCCGAGGAGCCGGACAACCGCCCCGCGCGCCTCCGGGAGCCTGGCGCCGGACTGCGCCAGCGCGCCGGGCCGGGCCGCAGCCGCTTCCGGGTCACGTGGCCCGACTTCCGGTTCGCACCCCGCCCCCCCGCGGAGCGGCGGCCAATCGGCTTCCTGGGACTGCGCGGTCACCGGCGCGGCCTCCGGGTCCGTTGACGACGGCCGAGCGGCTTCCCGCGCGTCGCCCCGCCCGCCCTGCGCCCGCCGCAGCCCCGGCTCCGCCCTCGCCGGCCCCCGGGGCGGGGTCTGTCGCTTCGCCCTCCCCTCGCCGCCTCAGCTTCGGCTCAGCCAGCCGGCTCCCTCCCCGCGGCAACACGGCTGCTCTGCCCGAGCTCGGCGACAGGGGCTTCCCCGCCGCCGCCGCCGCCCCGGCCAAGCCCCGCCGCGCCCGCGGCCCGCGGCCGCCGTAAGTCCCGGGGGGGCCGCCGAGGCGCCGGGGACGCGGAGCCGGGAGCGGGTGGGACGCGCCCCCCGACGACCCCACCCCGCGCGCGGCCGGCCGGCCCCTGGGGCGCCGCGCCCCGCAACTCACTTCTCTCCGCGTCCGCGCCCCTCTCGCCACTCCGCGCGGCGCCCCGGGCGGCGGGGACCCCGCGGCACCTGTGGGGCGGGGATCGCCCTAAGTTTGGCGGGGCGGAGGGGGGCGAGGACCCGGGGCGCCCCCGGCGCGGCGGCAGCGCCCATTGTCTGCCGGCTCCCGGCCTGTCACCCCGGCCGGGTTCGAGCGGCGGGCGAGTGCGGCCCCGCGGGGCGGCGGGGCGGCGGGGACGGCGGGACCGAGGAACCGAGGAACGCTGGCCCCCAGCCCGCGCCGCGGCCGAGCCATTGTTTTTAATACCCATCTCGAGGAATCGAGGTGCCCGGGGATTTGCGGCAAAAGCGGAGCTTCGGTGTCTGACGAGAGGGCAGGGGGAATTGTCCGCCTCGCGAGCCGGTGTCGTCCCGCGTTTGCACAGAATTCGTTTTCAAGAGAGTCGATTCTTGCTTTCTTGGTTCGTCCTGTAAAGTGTGTGTGTTGGGGGGCGGGGGGCCCCCAGGACCCCGCTCCCGACCGCCTGGAGCGCAAACGCCTCTCGAGAGCCAGCCCTCACCCTCCCTGGTGTGTGAGATCCCGGAATGCGGGCTGTTCTTTGCCGACTTGGGGTCGCGGCTCCGCGTTCAACGGCGTCGGGTGCTGCCTTCGCGAGCTCTCCCCTCCGAACGCCGCTCCCTCGCCAGCACTGGTCTGCGAGGCTCTTGGACATCACCGAACAGTGTTCGTTTATCTTGTGCCAGTGAAGCGTTTTCAGTGAGGCGTAATAGGGCAATTAATTTTAACTTGAATGAAGTTACATGGCCGCATCCTAAATTTCCAACTCTTGTTGATGTCGTTTTCGATAATTGCAAGAAGCGACAATAATTCCTTAGCGAAATTTAGGGCCCGTTCTATTCTAAATTGGCTGTGTAAATTCCTCCACCCCTATTCAAATCCAAGATGGTGTGGTGAATATTAAGAATCAGTCAGGAATCTTGCTTGCAATAAGACTACTAAACAAACTTAAGATAGTTCACAGGAAAAAATTGCCTGAATTCTACCTTTAAATTATCCTTCTCAAAGCCATGCTTATCTGTTCGCAGTTGAGAAGACCAGTTGAATTGCATGCAAGCAGCTTTCCCTAAAAATTAAACACGTAGACTGGCCAACAGAGTTGCACGTTCCAAATAAATATATACTAAATAGTTTAAATATAAAATACACTAGAATTCAGCATCCACCCCATCTAGTTGCTGTGTTTTTATTGTTTTAAATGAAGTATTTTGCATAATGTCTCTGTGTGTAACTTATTTTGCCTTTTAAAAACTGTATATTCTCTTTTAAAATACCACATTTAACTCACCTTATTGTGTGTATGTTTATGTTGAAATTTTAAAAAGTGAGAAGAGATACTTAAAATTCCGACTTTTATTAAGAAAACTGCATTTTTGCTATTGGTATAGTATTTTTACCTCTTATGCTTTAAGTATGTAAGCAGAAACTGAAGAAAGCATCCCACATGGTACCAGTCTGTTATCAGGTAATTCAGCCTGGAACTAGAATAGTCTGGAGTTGAAAAATAGTAATCTGTGTCTTAACAACTCTTCGTGAACCACTGATGTCAACAATTCTCTTTTCGTCCATACACATTCGTGTAACACAAGTGGACTATATAGTTAAATTGCAAGAATTATCTTTTTTCTCCAAAATTTTCACTCCAAATTATTACTTGCTTTTCTTCCCTAGACCCCTACACTCTCTTCTCCAAACTTTAGTGAAATTAGGTTGGGTAAGGAGATTTGTATCTAGTGGGAAGACCTTTCTACCAGAATTTCCTGCTATTTTAACTGGCATATGGATATTGATGACTACTAATCCCTGTTCTGCACCTGCCCTCCAAAGTTTCTCTATGAACTGTGTCACCTCAGCTTAACTTTGTTGAATCAAAGTATGGCTTGTAATCTTGATCCTGTTGGTTCCATTTGTCTTAACAGATGCAGTTTATGTTGCTTTTTAGTCGTCAAGGAAAGCTTCGACTCCAGAAATGGTATGTCCCGCTGTCAGACAAAGAGAAGAAAAAGATCACAAGAGAACTCGTTCAAACCGTTTTGGCCCGGAAACCTAAAATGTGCAGCTTTCTTGAGTGGCGAGATTTGAAGATTGTTTACAAAAGGTATAATTTTTATTTATCAGAAAGATAAAATAGTAAAATCAAATCTTAGGTCATTTGTAATGTAAAAATTGCAGATTTTTGAGAGATGCATTTATAAATAATGATTAATAAAGATTTAGATGAATCAGGTTTAAACTAACGCTTTGCATTTTTAAAATAACTGCTATTTTGATCGATTACCCAGATTAAAGTGATAGAAGTCAAGGAAATATTTTAAAAATTAATTATACAATCAAAGACAATTATGCTTAATCATCTTTTAAGGAATATTTGATAAATTCATTTGTTTGCAGGGGAATGTAGGATCAGTATTTCAAATTGTGTAATTCTCTGAATTTAGACCAGCATTTCTCCAGCAAATCTGTAATGACTGATATTTGACATGCCTTTCATCTTACTATTAGAATCTTAGTCACTTATAAACACCTTGGATACATGGACCATTTCAGTCAGATGGATGTTTAAAACTGTATAGACAGGATTTGTTCCTTAGTACTGTGTTTATTAATTTGAAGTATACTTGTTGCTGTAGTAGAGGTGTGATTAGATCTGAGAATTTTGCCAAGAACAGATTTTTTTAATTTTGATGTTGCAAAATGGTTCAGGTTGGCTTTGAACACTAAACTCTTTTTTTAATGCTATCCATCTTTATTAATATCTAAAACTTTTAATATCTAAAAATAAATTTCTCAAGATTGTTCTAATCAGGTTAAACGAAAAATAGTTACATTTTCCTTGCCCATTTATGTTCCTTTACTAATCCGCTACTGAATTTAAGAGCATTTCTGCATATAAAAAGTCCTTTTCTGGTGGATATGCAGGGAACTAACTATGTGGGCTGCAAGATGGGTTAAAGAGAAATCCTTTATTCTGCTCCAACTATGGATGGAGCTTTTTGTGAAGGAGATAGAAGAGGAGTAATGGATATTACTTCAATACTATAGACTCCTTTCTACATTAAAACGATTTGGTCATCTTTGGGTGATTCTTGTATCCAGTGTTTGGTTTAGTACTTGTTGAGAAAAATCATACCATTTTAGGAGCTAGAAGGTATCTTAGAATAATCTAGTCAGGTGATTTAAAAAAACAAACAAACAAACTTGTTGCCCAAGGATCGAACCTTAAATGAAATGAGTGGAATAGGAGAAACTTTTGGGAAATCAGAAATGGAATCCTGTATCCCTGCTGGCTTGGCCCCTATGCCCTGCATTGGAGATGGCGCCTGAATTTGTAAACCACTGTTGATCAAACTTCAATTTTATGACAGATGGGAATTTGGGAGAAGTGACTTGTCTAAGGTCATCTGCAATAGCTAGAGACTGACACCCAGACTGGGGTTCAAACCCTTGATGTGAAGTCAGAGATTTCTTAAACTGATTGGGGGGAAAAAAAAAAAAGGAACAACAGATTTGCATTTCTTTAAAGTTGTCTTGGGAGAATGGGTGGGGGAAGAGGGCTGGGACTGACCCCTGAAGGATCTGTTAGGAGAGCCTGAGGTCCTGAACACTGCTGTGGCCTCAGCAAGTGGGAAGGCAGTCTTTACCTAAGTTCGTTTTAGAAGACTGGATGACTGCTGGCGGTGGGGAGAGCAGGGAAAGAATGGGGTGATTTCACATTTCTGTTCAGCTGACGGAGTAAACTGTAACCCAGTAGGAAGGTTGACTTTGAGATGCTTATGCCTCTTCCATTTGGGGATCCCTAGTTTTCTTGGGGTGGGCTTAGACATGGAAGTTGGGGGAAAGTAGGCATAAAGTGTTCCATTGTTAGATCACCAACATTGGAGCAGCAGGCAAGGGGGAATGGAGTAACTATAGTATAGACACAGGAATGTCGGGGAAGGGGTGTTTCGAGAATAAGATCACTGCTACCAAGTGTCACATAAAATTCAGTTAAATTGAAAAAAGAATCGATTACATTAAAATCTAATCTATTAAGACTATTATCAGATTTAATCTAGTAGATTAAAATCTGCAAACAGTGAGCACTTCTTAAAATGCCCTTTGTCTGAACATTTTTGGTGAGATAGTAAAGACAGAACTTGCAAAGAAATAGGATGAAGTGTGACAGGTGGAGACATTTAAACAGCAAGTGTAGACTATTTGGGGGAGCTTTGCTATGAAGGACCAAAGAGGAGGTAACCACCCGTAGACATAGGAAGTCAGGGGCTCAGTGAAAAAAAGGTGTGCGACTTAAGCTTATTTCTAGATAGGGAAAGGAGTCCCCCGTGTGGAGGAGGAAAATACCAGCAAGGGAATCAATCCTTCGAATCAAGATTCCTGCAGCTGAAGGAAAAGGCCTGTTAAACTGAAGGAAATAGCGCTGGTCAGTGTTCCTGCTCCCGCATTCAGGCATTCATCCAGCCCACTCGTGGTGGGCCGCCACTGTTCTTTTAAAGGCTGTAAGAGGGTAATCTGACTTGACTCTGATCCTCACATCAAGTTCCTGCAAATAAAAGGTGGACTTCAAAGAAAAAGCAAAAACCAACACTTTATTGAAATATAATTCAAACATACAGGTTAGAATTATTAAAGTTTTTCTACAGCCCACCCACCCCCCCCAATTTCAAATTGCAAACCTCATCTAGCATAGCACTCTAGGACATACTTTTTGCTGACGTAAACAGACTCGTTTTCCCTTGGCCAGCTGGAAGAGAAGACATTTTAGCTTCTGAGAAATTCGAAACTAACACTTTTGCTGTTCACGTCAGCAAGTGATCTTTATGTCTTCCTTCCCCAAGTTGTCTCATCCACATTCCTCATTGGAGCATTTTCCACAACAGTTCTCCTCTTGGGAAGGGCGAGTGGGACTGGGGACGGGCAGGATAGCTGGGAAAATAGACGGACAATCTGGAGACCTGACTTCTGTTCCTTTTGTGCCGCTAGCTGGTGTTATGACTTTGAAGAAGTCGTTTTGCTTTTGTTTCCTCATCTCCGAAATGAATGCTCTTTGCAGATCCCTTCAAGACAGAATAGTGTGTGTTGTTTTCATTCCTGTTTCATGCAGCATTTTAGGAAGAGCCACTGGATTACAGTCTTAAAATTAATTAAAAAATACATCTCCAAATTGGTAACTTGAGAATTTGTCAAAGACTACTATATTGATTTTCTTTACTAAGAATTTTTAATGACATACCAGTGGGTATGGAGAACAGTTTAGTTACAGTCACCCACGGTCAGCTGCTATTTAGCTGACTGCAAAGAAGTCATGTGTTTTGAATATAAGAATAGGCACTTTCAGATGTTCTCAGTAGCAGTAATTAGAGTAATCCTTAATCCACTCTGCTAAAAATAACCAAACATACCTTTCTTCTTACTAGTCTGTTATTAATTTTACTTCAGATTTAGACTACAAATATGCACTAAGAGAACAAAATGAGCTCATTATTGAATTTTTAAAAACCGTTTGGTTCTAAAAATAGGGAGTGCACTTCAGGTTCTCTTGGTGATCTTTTACTAAATCAGTATAACAATTTCTTTTTCTCTCTTCGGAGCTCTTAAAATATTGCTTTGACAATGTTTTAAGTTTTGCCAGGAGCAGGATACCTGATTCAATACAGTCCCTGGCTCTAGCCCTTAATATAACCCTTGGTCTCTGGAGTCCCATGGCTGGCCCTGGGCAGGTTCCCCAGTGAAGGCTGGGTCTCCGGGAAATGCAAGGAATGGCCACGTCTCCCCGAAAGGGTTGCTCTGAGGATCACAGGGGCAACAAGAGAAAGCCTCAGCTAGCATCGCGTGCCTCCTTCACGGTGAGGCCTGGGTGGATGTCTTACCTACTGTTCATTATGCTTGTGATTTTCTTTCCTAAGCTTTCTGGTCAGAGGTGCCTTCTAATCCTGATAAGTATATGTTCATCCGCAGCCAAGAGTTCATTAGCTGGGTGCTTCTTTGTCCCTGCTGAGTGAAAGCAAACACTAAGATACCGTTGCAGGTTTTGGTTTTGATTTTTAAATACTGGTTGGTGCTTAGACACTTGATACTTAAATTAATATTTCTGAATGCTTTGCACAATTTAGGACCTTTAGCTGTTATTTAAGTGCTGTACATTTGTGAGTAAAGAGGCAGTGTGAGAAGCAGTAACATTGAAGAAATCTTGAACATAAAGAGGAAAAGGAACTTTAGCCTAACCTGTTATTAAATTCTATGTAATGTTTTATTTAGCACTTGTCTTGTATCAGGTTTCTATCTACTACTTTTAATGTCTGTTCCTTTAGCCTTTAGTTTTTTTCCTTCAGGGAATCTTACGTGTCATTTGTATCACTCCCCCCATTCAAACTTCTCTACAGGGAGCATGGGTTAGGGATGGCGGAAAGTTGGCCTCTCCATTGCCTTTTAAACAGAACAGTGTTGTAATGAGAGATGACGCGACGACGGTGGCGGTGGCGTCTCTGTATCCTTCATGATGGTAAAGGAACGATTTGAACATGTCCTCTGTGAGACTGTAGGAGTCCCACCATGTTAAATGGTTTACTGAGCGTAGGAGTTGGGTGGAATGGATGTGGCAGGGGTGTGTGGGGGGGTGTCAGTGCAGTGGGTATGGGCGTGTGTGTGTCAGTGCAGTGGGTATGGGCGTGTGTGTGTCAGTGCGGTGGGTATGGGCGTGTGTGTCAGTGCAGTAGGTATGGGCGTGGGGGCAAGGTCAGATCAGAGTTTTCCAGTTTTCCTCCTTTCTTGTCCCAGAGCTGCCTCCCTGCAGACCCTGTATTCTTGGACCTTTTTTTTTTTTTTTTTTTACTTTTTAATTTCTTAAAAAAAATTTTAACCTACAATCAACGACGAGCCACTGGATTACAAAAAAATCCAGTAAGCTGAAAAAATGTTTCTGATAATGAAATTAAGTGTTACACAGATACTAGTTGTTCTCATACGGAAGAGCAGGCACTCATTGACTCCCAAAGCTGGAATCAGGTGTGTTTGTGTCTTTCACAAACAGTAGTAGTGAAAGCAGTAGTCGCCCGTGTGTTTCCTCAGTCACTTCAGTGCTCCCCAGTGGAAACCGCAGTCTCTACTGAGATTTGTTTAGAATGTCTTAGATTTTTATTTTTTTTTCCCAAAACCCTTAAATGTACTTAAACCATTTGGAAATACTCTTTTTTAATTCTCCTCCAACAACTTAGTCATCTTTTGTAACCGCGGGGCTGTGTGTTAGTAAGTTCTGGTTTCTTTGGGTTAAGGATAACCTAGTCCCCGCGTCCGGCGTCCTCACTGGAGCGCAGTGTGAGTTTTCCAGCATTAGACCTTGTTCAGAGGTAGCAACGTTCAGTTCAACAGGCAGACCTTGAAAATCTGAGGTCAAGTCTCAGTTTCCTCTGTTCTTTCACTAACTTCTATAATAACTTGGCGCTATTGCTCTTTTCTTGCCCCCCACTCTCCAATCCTAAAAACCTCCTTTTTGAAAACAAGTACTTTAGAACCCAAGACAGTAGTTACCCTGGGGGATGGGAGGCTGTAACCTGGAGAGGTTAGGAGAGGGCCTTTGGGGACTCAGGAATATCTTTTTTTTTTTTTTTGGTGCTGCTCCCTGGGTGAGCTCACTTTGAAAACTCATGGACTTGTACATTTATGGCTTGTATTCTCTGTGAGTATATTATACTTCAGTGAGACTCTAAAACACTGACATCACATTAACAGTATATTCAATAAGTATGTCAACTGGAGAATTTATTTTCCCTGTTGTTTGGATTAATCATGCAGTGTATTTTGTTAGTAAACTTCACAACTTAGGTCAGCCGTGTTTTAGATTATTCATACTCCTTTAGATGGTGTGATGGGTTTTTATTTTTGCTTGTGTATGCTTTTGAAAATTTCCCTTCTATGCATTTATTACTTTTGTACTCTAGAAGAAACACAGTCTGTACTGTTGTAAAAGGAAAAATACTGTGCAAGCATAGTGTCTTTCACAATAGGATATGAAAATGTATTCAGAAAACATGATTATAGAGTAAAATGTTTTCACATCCATTTTTTTGTTACAGATATGCTAGCCTGTATTTTTGCTGTGCTATTGAGGACCAGGACAATGAGCTAATTACCTTGGAAATAATTCATCGTTACGTGGAATTACTTGACAAGTACTTTGGCAGTGTGAGTAGTAGTATTTTTATGAAATGGAATGCCATAGTATTTTTTTAATCTTTTCTATAACAGGTTTATTATTTGATTGTCTTGGGAATTCTATTTGAAAATAACTTTGGGAAAGGAATAACTGTTTCTTGTCAGTGTGCCTAGTCAGTTAATAGCCAGGATTGCTTGACCTACTCATTTAATTATGGTGGTAAGAGTGGGGTTTAAAGTAGTGTAATAGAAAGGAGAGTGACTGCGAACATTAATAGTCTGGAAGTGCTTAGTATAGGTTTAGATTGGGTTAACAGTTATAATTACATTGCTCAGAACATATGGATTTAAGAAGATAAGTTTTTATGAGTAGAAAATTAAGTTGACCATGTTGGGAACTTGCAGAGTCAGATATTACTTAGCATTGTGTTTTCAATGCCTACTTGTGTTTGAGATTTGAAAATTAAGCTGACTAAATCTAGGATGCTTAGTTAGCAAGGTTGCCATTTTTAGAACAAATTAAGATTGATTTGCTCTAGTCAGATTTTATTTACTACCTGATAGTGGCCTATTTTGCTTCCTCGATTTTAACTACTACATCTAGATGTCTTGTTTATTTCTGCTTTTCAGGTGTGTGAGCTTGATATCATCTTTAATTTTGAGAAGGCTTATTTTATTTTGGATGAGTTTCTTTTGGGAGGAGAAGTTCAGGAAACATCCAAGAAAAATGTGCTTAAAGCCATTGAGCAGGCCGATCTCCTGCAGGAGGTAAGCTAGTTGGTGTTCTCTTGACTAGACACTAGCATGGTTCACTCTTGATGGGGCGGTCTCAGTCATCTTGCCTTATTCTTACCCGTGTCACCGATTACTCTGTAGCATGCTTGGCATGTAGTGTCCACGTGCAGTGGGCTGATTGGAATAAGTGTCAGTCATGTCAACTCAGTGATCTCTGGATGGATGGTTCACTTGGAGATGGTCTGTCACTAAGACCTCATATTGACAGCCCAATTTTGGACCCCCAAAACACTTAAGAGTCTAAACTCAGAGAGGGCAGACTACTTTAAGAAGGGAAAAGATTCATCCAAAGTCAGGGTGATTTGAGAACTATCCATCTGTTGTTCTGAATTACTTAATCCCTGTGCTTATTAGTGAGGAGAATCAGGAGTTGACTGTGAGATTGTGGCATTTTTATTCCAAATTCATTCATATTTTCACCTCATGTCCAGTAAGTGTAAATGTAGCCAAGCAAATGATAGTGATATAATTTTAGAACCTTCTAGTTTTATGTTAGTCAAACTAACTGCAAAGTATTTGTACTTCTCTTTGCTCTTCTTAAATAACAAACCTTGTTCTGTCAAATGACAACATTCTTGTCTTTGTCACCAGGTCCAATGTCACCAGAACCATTAACAACCCCCCTCCCTTTCTAATCTCCATAGTTGTTCTGGGTTAACTGTATACTTGATGCTTCTGTACTTTCGATTTCTGAAGTTTAAAATTTCATAGGTAAGGCTACCTTTTTCTAAAAACTTAATGACACCTTAATTCAGGTACCAAATGGAGTTATGTTTTAGCAGTATAACTGGTTTTTATCAAACAGGACATTTATAACATGAGGGAGAAGGGCCCATAAATACAGTGTATTTTCATTAAGGCAGTTGTCTTTTTTTTAAATTATTAAAGGAGGCTTTAAATTCAGTTTTGTTAGCATTTTTGTTATAATGGAAATGTGAACTAAGAAGAGTAAATACCCTTTTCTCTGGTATAACTTTAACGGCTGGCCTCTGTAGGGAGAGGAGGGAGCAGTCCCTCTCAGCAGTCCCTCGGCATCAGTAACTGACTGCCTGGGTTAGTTGTGGGGATTGCTGGACGTTGGGGTGGCTTCATCTGGAATACGCATATATTAAATGCATATATTAAATATATTTCATGATCTGGAGCTACCAAACAGTGGGTCAGGAGCCTGCAAAAGCAAAGTCTTTTTGACAGCCCTGATGCCACCCGCGGTTCGGTGGTGAGCTGAGCGTAGCCCCTTTTCCACGTGTGCATTTGCTACACTTTATTATTAAACATGAAACATGTCACTGGGGAGTTTTGTTTTTTTTTTTAACATCACATAGGCTGGCCACAACTTCATGGTCTACTGTTGTAAAATTGGTTTTAAAGCTACCACCTCCTTTTGCTGTTGACTAATCAAACTTTTCTGAAAATTACATAAAGCCTAGGATCAGGAATTGGGGTTTTTTCCTTTGTCCCTTCCCCTGATCACTGTATTCTGCTCTGTCACAAACTAATAGTTTCTCCAAGTTCTTCATTATTTCCTGGTTAGTTACATTTGTTTTTAAACATTTCTAAAGTTATGGAAGTTCGACTTTTAATAGTTTTTTCTGGGGAGTTCTGTTTAGGGCACTGATAGCTCCTTGTGCCTGGAATGTTTTTTCAGCTCTACTTGGAAATTGCTGTATGGCAGTTTTGCTGCATTTATCTTACAGCATGTATTGAATATTTTAGTATACTCATGGATTAAAAAGTTATTTCAGGTCCATATTTATTTGTGAGTATGTATCTCCCTTGTTGGAGTATCTTAGTAGGAAGCAAGGTCTGCCTTTTTGAAGTAATACTTTTCTTTAATTGGGGAAGTATAAATGGGGAGAGAAGCATAAGATGTCTGTGATCCCATGTAAAATTCTCCTTACCCCACCTCACCCTAGTTTAAAAAAAGTTGACTATGGTTAATTACCATTCTTATCTTTAGAAGAGCACTTTGGCCCTGCTTGTTGTTTGTGACTGACGACTAACATTGTTTTGTACATAAATCAAAATGATTAGTACCTTAAGACGTCTTTTATTCAGTGGTCTGGGCGGACCATTTTTTTTCATTCAGATCTTGAGGCAGAAGGTGGTTGGCCCATTCTGAATCTAGAATGAATTATAACACATTGCAGGTTAAGGCCTTTATGAAACCAAGCTAAATAAAGTCTGTATTTTCTAAAATATATTCATTTATTTGTTAGCACATGATTTATGTTCACATAAATATTTTAATATTATGTTTATAAAAGATGGAGTAAGAGGAGAAAAAGCATTCCACAAACTGCTAGTATTTGTCTGGACACCACAGTAGCAAAAATGAACTATGATGATAGCTAATGCTTATTGACTGATTAAATGTGAGGCATCCTGTGCTAATCCTCAAAGTCCTGAGAAAGGGTCCAGGAGAGCCTTTTATTACCAGATGAAGTAGAGATTCAGTGAGGGTCCAGCGACTGGTCTTGAAGCTTGTCTCACAAAATTAGTAATTGGCAAAACCAGGATTCCAAACTCAGATCTGCCAAACTCCAGAGCTGTGTGAAACCTTAACTGCTGTGCTCTGTTCCTCCCTGTTCATGTATTGTCTTATGTATTTAAACATTCTGTTTTATATACCAACTTCTATCTTCTCAGTAACCAGTAAATTCATAGTTCTCCTGTATTGGACAGAGTAGATTTCCTAAGACAGATGCCATCTTTTACTCTGCAGACTGGGAATTTTCATTGTCCAAATTACCAGTGACTGGAATTTTAAAATTGGATATATCAATAATACTTTCAAATCGTTTGTTGGATTTGTCATAAACACTTGGATCTGTAGTAGCGTTTGTCTTATAATTTGGGGTATATTATGGACTTAATCTAAGTCATGAAATGATTTTGCTTCCAAGATTGTAAATATAACTGGACATACCTCTCTAAACACAGCCTTACATTTTTAGAAATTCCAACTATTTGATTATTTACCTTTTAGGTTTTCATGGGTTGTGTTTTTCTACGTGGTGTAAAGTCTTTTCTTGAATTATTTCTAAGCATCAAAGATGACTAAATTTATAATGAAAAAAATGTTGACTTAAAGATATGCAAACCACAAAATGACTTTGATTTCACTTCTTTTAAATTGTAAAATGTATATGTCTATCCTTGAGTGTTTTTCTTCAGAAAAACTTTTTAAATTTTCCATTTTATCCATTGTGTGTAAACATCAGGTAGTTCGCACAGAGACATCTTTCATTTTATAGGCAAATGGCAGTCAGTGGATGAAGTAGGTTTTCTATTAGCATATTACAGACAGTACTGAGAACATAACATAAACCTGTATTAGAAAAAAATGCTAAAATATCAGACATTACGGTTAAATATTTTTTACTTAGCTTAATTACTTGGTTTTGACGTTTGTAGACACCTATGTTTATTCCTTTTGGTATTTGGTTGTGTAAATCCATAATTAGATTTGGGGGCAAAGCCCAGAAAAATTTGTCCATTACCTAATTTTTAATATTTGACTGTTGGCATTTAAAACAGGTTTTCTTAACCTGCCACTGGTACTTGATTCTGAAATTATTAAAGTGCAATATGCTGAGATTACTAAATTGACATTTTTTCCAATACTTCGAACATTCCCCTCCATCAATTAAATACTTTAAGCTAGATTCTTGGGGAAGGGGGCTCAGTTGGATTTTATAAATGTACATATATAATGACAAAGGAAATACAGGGTGCATTTGCTTTGTACAATCAGGCACTTACAGTTTTTCTCTGCTCCTTAATTTTTATAGAGCCAGAATGAAGAATGGGGAGGTTTGTCTGAGGATATCTTATGATAAAGCTCAGTCTAAGGCTTTAGTCCCTTTGAACCCCAACTTATTTATTGGTAACTACTAAATTTACCGTTTTTGTGGCATGGATAAAGTGGGATGTTATGTAAAGACTGTTGCACGTGAGATGATTTCAAGTCCTTGCTTGATTTGTGAAGATCAAATAGTTCAATACTGGGCGTTGGGCTTTAACCTTCAGCAGCAGATGCATGATGGCGTGGATCAGTGCTTGGAGATGTGTCAGCCTTTCTTTTTATACTAACAGCATCATTTTGAAATTTGTGGGGGATTTCCTTTTGAGCTTTGTTTGCTGTTGGTATTGTTTCTCACTAAAGTCATCTGAGAAATGAAAAGTAAGTGAGGTACCAAAAGCAAGCATTATACTCACGAATTTGCTTCTACTTTGAGATGATCTACTTTATTACTAGATTTACTGGATTTACAGTTGTTAATCTCCCCCATCTGGAAAGGGGTGCTCTACGGAGAATTAGCTCTGCTAAAATTGATTTGTTTTAGTGCTGGGGCTGCATGATAATATCTTAGCACTTTGCAACATCTACGTGGGAGTAATAATTAGTAAATCTATTGGACTGCATAAAAATGGAAAGGTAAGAATCTTAGGAGAAAAGGAGATTTAGAAAAATGAATCTTTAACTTAAAATTATTTTAAATAAGCATACCTTTGAAATACTTAATAACATGCTTTTTAGTAAGTTTTAACAAGCTATTGCTGTTAAGAATATTTGGGCTTACTAGTCAAACTCAAGAGTATCTTACACGTTGTTTTAAAACAATATTTATCAGCAGAAGTCATTTTGATATAAATCCTCTTAGGATTTGCTTTAATAAGACAAACTCCTGTAATACTTTGTATTTTTGTACACTGTAATTTGTAATTACCACTGTTGATGTTAAAACCTTTATAGCCTAAATCTTTTTCTTTTAAATTGGTTAAAAGATAAGGCTGTAATCTTATATGCCAGCATATTTTCATTTTTTTTAAGGAAAACTTGATTGGGGTCTGCTGGGCCAAATTCTGGATAAGTGAGGTTTGTTTATATTAATGTTTGAAATGGAAACTACAGACGGCAAATATAGAACAAATCTACCTTTTACTTCGTATTTATTAATCAGTTTGACCAATGTCCTTGGTCACTGGTTTTCAGGTTATAACAGTCATTTTGCTAAATGTTTGTTTTTGAGCTCTTTTTATTTGACAGCTTTTCAGAATTTTGAGGGTTTCTTCCCATGCTCTTTGATTTCAACACGTTTTGAGCCAGCTCTTGCTACACTGGACTATTTAATAATGAAAAGTTGGGATAAATTAGAATATTCAGTAACTGTAAATTGATATTCAACAATATTTGACTAGAATTCATAGTAATAAATACTTTTTAATATCACAATAGTTACATCTATAAACCAAAAGTTATTTTTTATTAATTTTTGTTTTGTATTCTCACATTTTCTATCCTATTCTTTTTTTCACCTCTGATCCTGAACTACCGAATTGGTTGCATGGGTGCTAGGATCAGGGCCTGCAAAGAGCAAGTTCCTAGCTGTTGCTGGTGTTTTTTTTTTTTTCCTCCTTTAAAAATTGCTTTCTGAAAATTTTCAGGGTTTGAGTTCTCTTTTCCCCTATTGACACTTTTATTTTGTTTCCTCTGTTGCCTCTTTTTATTAAATAAAAATTCCCATTACAGAAAAATTAGCAAACCCAGGTAAGCACACTAGAACATTACTCTTAGCCACTAATCAACTGCAAATTAGATTAACTCTGGTTCTCAGCTGGGGTGCTAGTAGAGCAGTCGTGCCTCCTTGGGCAACATTGTGCAATGCTTGGACATGTTTTTGATTGACACACTGGTAATGGGTGTGCTACTGGCACCTAAAGATGGGGGACTCTGATAAATAGCCTGGAGTGCTCAAGACAGCCCTCCCAGAGCAAGGAGCTATTTGGCCTCAAGTGTCAGTCGTGCCCAGGTTGAGCATCCCTGGTTTAATTTTGCACCTGGAGACTGCCGCCTCTTTTCAGTGGAATAGGTACTCCAGAGTGAACGTGACTGGCTGAAAGTGAGCTGAAGGTGGAAAGAAAAAAAATCCTAATTGTAAAGGAAGGACAGCTGTGCTTAAGAACATGTAAATGACTGTAAGAATCACTTCTTTCACCAGTTACCTTACAGGACTTGGGAGACAGTCTCTGCTTGACTTTAACTCACAGCAAAAAACTTGTGGGCTGTCACTGTGTAATTTAATTTCCTTAACAGCAACCAAAATCCATTAATGTCTATTAAAGTAATTGAATTTTTACCTGGAAACAGAATTGCGTATACACCCTGCAGGCAGTCAAAACACTTTTGAATTTTCTGCTGACTTTCCCATCCCCCTTAGAGATTTGGTAATTTCTTAAAGGACTAGCTTGAATGACCAGAATTTGCCATATTTAGATTTTTTTGTTATTCTCTTGTACCCTCTTAAAGAATTTACTTAGTAAAGATATTTAGCATTTGAATATTTGAAATTCAGTGACTCCGAGAAATCTTTCATGTTTGGAAAACCCTGATTAAATTTAGGGCATTTCAAGTGCTCCATGTAGATCAGGCAAATACAGTTTAGTTACCTTAGAATAGGCGTCGCGGCAGGAAGGGTGGAGCAGGTTTTCTATGATCCTCTGCAGATGGGTGAAGGGGAGAGTCCTGGGGTGCTCGGTGCCCTTTTCAGGCTTTTACTGAACATGGCAGGCAGGGGGCGGGGGCAGAAGGCTGGCAGCCTCCTAGCCCCCAGTGAATCTTCACTCTTTCTGGGCTCTCCAGCGTTCTCTGGCTTGTTCCCCCTCTGGTGGTTCCGTTTCCTCCGGCGTCTGGCCTTATATGCCCAGTCTCTTGGCTCAGGTGCGTCCACCTATGCATGCCCACACCCTACTCCAGGTGTCCGCCATCAGGCATGCATTTCATCTAATGGCAGGAGGGCGGAAAAGCCTACAATAGGCTATAAAACTATTTCCTTACAGACTAAACATATTTGCTAAGTAAACATATTCTTAGTATTTCATCACTAACAGGTTTTAGAGGCGGGTTTGCAAGATGTAGTTATCCCCATCATTTTAAAGACACATATAAGAAAAACAGATCAACAGCAGAACAGAAAAAGACAGCAGTTGATATGAATAATTTACAGATGGAAGAAATAAAACAAATTAAGGGAATGGAAATTAAAATATCAATCAGATCTTTTTGTTTGTTCTTGGCAAAGATGAGAAACGCTGTTGTTTGCTGCTCATGAGCTCTTAAACTTGTATTCCATTTTGGAGGATTAGTTTGGTGGCATCTGTTAATAGTTAATATACACACCGTTTGACCCATCAGTTATACTTCAAGGAATTTTATCCAACAGAGATACAAATACACCAAGACACAGTAATGTAAAATATTGAGCCATTGAACTTCCCCAAATGTCTATCAATGGGAAATAAATTAAGAGAATTTCAGTACAACCATACACGAAACCATTATCTGGCTGTAAAGGAAGTGAGATAGATTTCTATGTAATGATATATGAAATGAGAAAAGATCTAGGAGCAGGACATCGACATAACCAGTATTAGCTTTGGAAAAGTCAGCTCTCCTCCCCTTTTCTAGAAGTGTGAAAGAAGCCTGCAATTAGTATGTGTAGCGGCAGGACGACATGATCCCAGCAGACGGGGTAAGGAGGAGAGAGTCCTGGAGCCCTCGGTGGCTTTTCAGGCTCTTATTGGGATTTACCAGGTACACAGCAGGCTGGGGGGCTGGGGGGGGGCCGGGAGGCTGGCAGGCCTCCCAGCCCCCAACAAGTCTTCACTCTGTCTGGGCTCTCTGGCCTTCTCTGGTGGTCTCTGCTTCTCTGCTCTCTTGTGGTTGTGGTTGTGGTTCTGCTTCTGCTTCTCCTGCTTCTCTTCTCGTGGCTCGTCTCTCTCTGGTAGTACTGCTCGTGGTTCTGCTTCTGCTGGCGTCCCCATGACGCTGCCCTTATAAGCGCGGTATGAGCCCAGGTGAATCCCATCTACATAGGCCCACACCCCACTCCAGGGGCCCGCCATCAGGCATGCACTCAGGACCGCAGGGTTCCGTCATCCAGCCTAATGGCGGGAGGGCAGAAAAGCCTGACATTTTACCTACCCTGCAGTATGATAGATTTTTTTTAATGAAAAACACGGTGTGAAAGAAAAAGTATACATTGTGTTGCTCCAGAAGGTAAAACTAGAGTAAAAATAAGGTTGTAGCATGTAAAGTGAAGCAGTCGTGTGCTCTTGGCCATTTTAGACACTAACCAGCTGGAGCGACCATATTACTCTTGCCGTTCCCTGCTAAGTTAGCGGGAGACACAAGCACTGTACTCTCCTGGTGCCTCCGCTTGCTCATGAAATAGGACTGACACCAAGAGTCCCGTCATTTGAAAGGTGCCCTGTTAAGTGCTTTCAGTTTTTCTCTTTTCATTCATTATTAAATGTAGATCTGAATGAATTTGGATACTGTCCAGCTCTTCAGTCTTTAACAGATAGAATAGGGTTCCACAGTGGCTACAGAGTTCAGTGAGGGACAGTAAAAAGAACTGTTGTATTCTAGAACACAAAAGAGAAAGGGCACTACTCTGTAGTACGAGGAACAAGTGAAGTCCATTTATAAGAAAAGCTGGAGTGGAGCAATAACTTCAAATTATACTTACATTTATTTTTCATTGAATGTAGATTATTTTCTCTTACCGCATTGGGTATTAGAAAGAGAAAATCAGGAGATGAGATTTTTAATTTTGGATCCAATATTTTAAATTTACTTAAGTACCTCTTGTCTCCACAAGACTTAAGCCTTCAGATCATTGCTAGCTTAACCGTTTTCGTTACATTTTCCCAGCTCATTTCACTTGAGTCATCAGCCTGGTGTGATGAATATCTGGGGGTTTTTAAGGTAGTTGTGTTTGTCTTTTCTTCGGAAGGAGGTGGTTTTGAAGACAGGTGCAACTTCATTTCTCGCTGCTGTATTTGTCATTCTTCGCTTCCCACTACATCAAGTCCTTTGTGTAGGGGATTAAGAAAAATATCACTCTTCTCGGGAGGAAAGTTGAATGTACGTGCTAATGCAGAGATTATGAAACACAGGATAGAATAAAGGGGGAGGTATACTGGGAGGGAGAATGGGAATGGAGTCAAAAGCATTGGGCTTGGGCAGTCCTTTGTTATGAGAAGATGATCGAGATAAAGCAGTAGGTTTTTTTTTCCTTATGAGTTAAAAAAATAAGGGAAATTGAGAAAGTTTTGTTTTTTTAAGATTTACTTATTTATGCATACAAGAGCTGGGGTACAGGCCAGAGGTGCAGGGGGTGAGAGGATTCACCAGAGACAGAGCAGGGAACAGAACCGGCAGACTCACTGAAATACACTGCTGAGGGGAGCAGCGGGCGAGACAGGAGAGGTCTGCTGCGCCATGTGGGTTGCTCCCTCGCCAGCTGGGGATCGAACTGGTGCTGGAGTGGCAGATATCTTCATAGGTTGCGTCTTAACCCTTGTGCCACAGGGAGGCCCAAAGTTATTTTCTTGACCTTGAGAAACTACTGGGGCCTGAGGAGAATGGGAAGAAGTAGGAAACTTGATAAAAATGATCAGGGTTTCACATAGACTTAATGACGAGCCAATGGATGATGAGCAGAAGGATTGTCTGGGGTTGGAGGCCCAGTTCAGATTGAAAGTAGTAATGTGTGATCTACTTACCAAAAAAAAAGAAGTCTAAAGAATCTATACTAAAGGCATCTTGTGACTTGTATTTGTGTAATATGACAGGATTAAAATTTTGTTCTCACTATTTTCGTTCTGGTCTTGTCTTCCACATAATTGAAATCACTGGCATTTTAGCATATGAAGAAACTTGGTGTACTGGGTAGTAACGATAGTAGCTCTGGTTCTGCCCAGGGCCCTGTATGTGTTACTACAGACTTTACTCTCCCCCAGTCTTAATTAAGGTAATTTTCCATGACTCATAAGATGTATTGGTGACAAGAGGATATATTTAATACAGTAGAATATTTTCTTTGTATATGAGAAAAATAAGTTGCTTATGGTCATCTATATCATTTAGATAAAAATCAACCTTAAATCTTAAGAGGTCATTAAGGCATTTATTTATAGCAGAACTTTTTCATACCTTAGCAATAGAAACTGGGAAATTACTTTAAATGTGCTGCAGCAATTTTAAATGGTACAAAAATATAGATCTGTGCATTTTAGGGTTTCTTTTCTCCTTAAAGGATGTTTCTCCAGTGAAGAGGGTTTTCTCCCCATGAATAGTATTCTTTACACTAACTGGATGCTTATTTCTTGTTTTAAGTTCAGCAATAAGGATCATTGGTATAAAGAATAGTTTTGCTTATCATCAGCCCTTTCCTTTCCTGGAGGTGTAGTACAAGGTCAGAAATGCCTGGGCAGGCTCATGTGAATGGTTTGTATCAAGTTGTTTGTTGTCTTTCATAAGAAGTCTCCTCTGGGGAAGAATCACCCCTTTTGGGTAACTGCCTTGCTCTTTTCTTTTAATGGGGATAAGCTTTCAATGGTTGGTTATACAGTGTGATATAAGACTGAGAAAACTAAAAGGTTAAAAAGTAGAATGTAAGGCTCAAAGAACTGGTATTACTTAGGTGGAAGGTTTTTTGATAGACTTAAACTTTTCTTGTTCTCTCTCCAGAAAACAGAAACTATCTGTCACAGCAAGAGTTTCATTGGGTGTAAGAAAGCATACTAGAATACGTGCTGGAGTACTCACATGCATCACAATGTAGTAGGATTTATATGTTTGGTTTATAAGTCTAAGTTTGTCAAGTTTGTTTTTTATATTTTAGCATTACCTGTAAAGTCTTATTACATTAAATCCCAAGGGATGGTCCCAATTATCTCATTTAGCTGATATTTTCATAGGGAATTTTGCTCTGATAATGATCCATCATTGGGGATTGTAATTTATTTATTTTTTTTTACACAAGAGAATATTAAAATAGATTCATTGACAAAAATGCTTAATTAAATACTGTGAAACACTAATGCCATTGATACAGAAATAGAATTCCCATATGAAAATAAGAGCTACCATCAGAAAGTGAAGCATTTGGGCATTTATTATTAATAATATTTTAACTTGCTTCCTTTCACTATAATCTATTTGAGTGGGGGGAAAAGGGCAATTATTTCTTTAAATTGTTTAGGAATTATCTGAGGATTAAAATTGAACAGGCTTTTTTTTTTCTTGGTACTTTTGTACTTAATGGTTACATAAGTATAAGGGAACTGTTACATATTTTATTAGAAGTTTACATGACTTTGTAGCCTGACATTTCAAAGTGCCAAGGTGAATAAATATTAAAATGAGGGTATTTTAAAAGCATTCAACTAAACAGTTTAAATTTTTTTTTAAATTTTTTTGAGTCCCAAGCCTTCTGGCAGGGGCGTAAGCCCTTAGAGAGTGTGAAGGGCCCTGGCCCTCTTCTCAAGAAAGTCTGTCCATTATTTCACTCATACTTTCAGGAGGTTCTTGGAGTCCCTAGAAATCCGTCTCTGGACACCCACGGTCAGCTTAAAACCTCAGGTTACCTTCTTGATGTGAGAAACACTTTTGTAGAGCCATTAAACAACTATTTTTTGGAGAGTTCTTTAAAATCTATCTTGAACTTTTCTTAAAAAGTAATAAATAACCCTTAGTCTCAAAGGCATAATCTTTGGGATTTTTTTAGGCTAAGTAAACTCTTGAAACTTTTACCTAATGGGTGACTGCTTTTCCATCTTTTCTTGGGGAAGATTTTCCTTCAGGATCTCTGAAAAAGAGTATATGTCACCTTAGAAGGTGATGGGTTTTATTCAGGGATTAATCCCTTTACTTTGTCTAACAAAAACCTGACGAATTTAAACACTGGTGAGAGGGAACTTGAGCTTTCAGTTAAGTCAGTAACCATCAGATGACTTCACTGAAAACCTTCTCAGTGCGTGATTAGTAAGCACATTGCTTTAGGATTCTGTAGCTGTGGGTCCTCATTTAGTGGTCATTATATACAGTAAAATCATAAAAGATGAAGCTGAACTCCTGGGCACTGTCTAGAAGTTAAATATTCATTCATGAACCAAAGAATAAAAACAGACAACTTGAGTTTCAGTTTTCTTTACTGTCAACTAAAGATTCTAGAAGTCTGATTGTGAGTCCACATGCTGTGTGTAAGAATATATGCATTTCTCTCGCAGCCACGTCATGAATATTTTAATGTGCCTGTGTACTAAGTGACTGCTCATCGTGTATGCCGCATTTCACAGAGGAACTAGAAAGCTGATATGCTTATGAAAGAAAATATCCTCAGCTTGGTGACTCATATTATCTCGTATAATAATAGAACATTTTAGAACCAATACCTTTACAACTGTATTTTTGTCCTTGCTCGCACGTCTTTCTTGGGTTTTATTTTCATTCTATATGTGTTCTTGATGTAGCTTATTCCTGCTCACAACTGATTGAATTTCTTCTTGAAAAAATATGACCCTTGAATGTTTAGAGTAATTTTATCTTAAGCCACATACATGTCACCATTTTTGAACCACCTGTGATTAATCCTCCAAGAGGAAAAACCTAGTAATCTTTCAAATGTTTACCAAAGAAGATAAAGTGAAACACTAGATTGAAATACACAGTGCCATGATACACAGTGTGCTTTGGTCTGAAAATGTTGAAAGAAATGAAACTATATTTATGTGATTATATTACACCGTCTATATGAACGAATGAGCTAATGTGTTCTAATGTATCACATAAAAGTATATTTGGAAATAATACAAGAAAGTAAAAATCTGTATTAGTATATAATATTGAAAGTAAAGCACAGGTTTTAAGAAATGTGTAATGCCACATTCATGGAATCACCTTTGTGCTAGCTAGAACAATCAGTCCCTTCAGGAATCATCAGAAAACTGTCCAAAGTCTCTGATGCAGTGTCATCAGTTCCGTGGAAAGTAAACCCCCTTCAAAGCATTAATTTTGGGTTTACTTATATAGTTAAAATTTAAATACCTATTTTTAGTAGTTCTTGTTTTATAATATATTAAGCCTTCATTTAAATACTTATTAAATTGTTAACTGTAGTTTTATATTTCTAAATATTAAAACCACTACTGTTGATCATTATTGTGTATACTCTTAATAAAACATGCAACATATTTTATTATAAAAGGAAAAGTACCAAATAACTAATATTTATATCTAAAGAGTTTGAAGCCTAAGTTTAGTAAGTTATCAAACAATAAATTCAAAAGATGCTCACATTGGTTTGCCACTGAAAGACCTATTGACGACGCACACTGGACAGGTATGCAGGTCCGTTATTTCCATTCTTACCATGCTCAGGGACTGCGTTCATTTAAAGCACCAGGATGGCCTACCAAATACAAAATTTAGAATCACACGTAGAAAGCGCTGGGAAACACTGGCCTTTCATTTCCATTTTTTCCCACTGCCCTGCAATGTTACTCATCTGGTTTTGACGCTGCATAAATATGCATTGTCTCATGCCTGTTTGCTTTGGATGCTGTGTGCTGTAACAAGATGTTGCTTCTTTTGTTATCTGTATACAGCTGCTTGCTTTAAATATTCTGAAAGAGCTATCCTTGCATGTCTAAAATAAAAGTATTGCATGTACTTTGTCTCATGTGAATGACTTTTTTTCTTCTCCATCCCTGTTGATAATATATTTTATATTTTAGTTTTTCCAGGTAATCTTTAAAACTCATGGTACAAAAACATAACAATTCATGAGCTTGACCATTTTTAAGTGCCTGACTCAGTAGTGTTAAGTACATTCGCATTGTTGTGCAACCATCTCCAGAAGTTTTCCATCTTACAAAACTCAAACTCTGTACCCATGAAACAACTGTCCGTTCCCCTCCCCCAGCCCTTGATAACTAACAACCATTCTACTTTCACTGTCCACGAATTTGACTTACCTTAGACAGTAGTTTTTCTGGGTAATTTTGAGCTGCACTTTTAAGGGGAACATGTGAAGATTACATTTTCTAGTATAAACACTTGATAAAATCTAATGTACTATTTATACATATCTCAAAGGAATAAAATGTGTAAATGGCTCTTTGAAACTAGGCCTTTAGAAAGGATATTTTAAATAATGCATATTCGATAAGCAACATGATTCTCTTGAAGAAATGCTATATGAGATTGCAAACAGTGGACACATGGGGGAAATCCGACCAGCTCCAGGGAAGAGAATGGGGGGGCATTTTGCATGGGTAAGCTAAGGATGTTCCCTGGATAGAATTCACTGCCGGTGTCCTTTAATAAATACATTAAAGGTGGTATAACTTTCTGAAAACATTAAATAGAAATGATTAATTTTTTTTCCTTTAATGTGTTTGTGATCCAGATGACATTATTTCAGTGTATTCAATGTTTAAGACTAAACATAAATAAGGTTGACTTATATCATTTGGGGGACTATTGCATCATTTCCATTAGACTCTTTTAAAACATTCATCAATGAAAACTCCCAGAAATGCGGGTAGGAGGGCGTCAGAACCTCGTGTTTGCGTCACTCGGCCGCCACAGCCATCACCTCGGTGCTTGTTACTGCACTGACGTCATGGGCTTCCCTCATTTTTCCCTCAGTGTTTTAGGCCAAGCCCTAGCTATCCTACCATCTTATCTTTAATACTTGAATACATGCAGCCACAGGAGATAAGTACCACACCCCCAAAATTAACGATAATTCCTAATAGCTTATTCCTGGTTCCATTTTCCCGAGTTGTCCAAAAAATACATTTTTATCATCTCTTAGAAACGGATTATCAAGCAAGACTCACTTGGTATCCAGTAGTTGTCCCTTAAGTCTCTTAATCTGGAACAACTCTGGCTTTATGCCCTCCTGCCCTTTTTTTTTAACTGAGACACGTGTGCTATAGAATTTCCTCCATTCTGTATTTGGCTGATTGTAATCTTGTGGTGGTGATTAATGTTTTTTATCTTCCATATAGGTTTCGGTCTGTAGCCCCATTAGATGGAGGTTCATGGGGGGTGGGGGGGGACAAGAAACTTCATGAATTAGGCTGCCTGTAAGAAACAGCTTTTTTCACCGAAACTAATTTCCCATTCTTCATGAGTATACAGACAATACTAAAATGTCATCCCATGAACTCTGTCTATAGAGTCAGTGTCTAGTACTGCATCTAGTACTAACTGCTAAATACCTTCATCTAGATTGTGATTGTATAACAATATCAACTAACATTTTTGAGCACTTTTTATATAAGTCAGGCACTGAGGCTAATCTCAATCTCAACATAGGAAGGTAAGTACTATGATTCTTGTTTTCCAAATAAAGAAACAGACCATGGAGTTTAATTTACTTCAAGTTACTTCATGTAGTACCTTACATACAATTAATCTAATGTTGTCTGGATCGATGGTTTAATGTGTTCTTTCTTTTTCTTGTTTTGTGCTGTACCACAATTAGGATGCAAAAGTAAGTTGTTATTGGATACTAAAAATGAACAGTAATTCTTAATATTTTTAGTTCAGTTACTCTTAATTTTCTGAAAAATGCATTTTTTAATAATCATTTTGTTCGAACCAGATTCCAAACAAGTTTCCATTCCATCATCATTTCCCTCCATTCATAAGTAATATGCCTTTTAACTACAAAGTTGTTGGGTAACACCGGAAATTTGAGCTTTATTTTGTGATAAGCAAAGCAGCCACTCTAAAATTTTTAAACATTTTCCTTGATATGCCTGCTTTGTCTTCCTTCACATTTAAAAAGAATTGGCGTTTACACAGGACAAAAATGCTCTTTCATTCCAGAGCATTCTTACATTTCCTCCACCGTGGCTGTTGGTTGTCCCGGGGAAGTGGAGGAAAGCCCCGGGAGGAAGATATCTCTCTAAGTCCATGTGCCACACAAACCAAAAATAAAGCACGGAAAACAAAATTAAGTGAAGAATTGGGACAACATAGGGTTCCCTTGCTTTTTATTTGGGGGAGGTTTTGAATTTTAGCGGAGATAACTTTGCTGTAGACAATTCGGGTCTGCAGTAGCTTGGCAGCTTTTTGTGTTACAGCACAGGTGCCCAGCACGTGGGTCGGTAATCTGTGAGGTACTTAATGCATGCTGAAAACACCCTTCTGTGGTCTCTGATGTTTGGGGGCACAAAACCCTAAATAACCACCAGCTCCGTAGTGGAATGCACCCCTTGCTTCTCTGAAACTTGCACTTCCCTTGTGTCAATATCACATTCTCAAGCCTCGCGGGATCTGCTTACCAGAGTCTCACGTTTTCCTCCACAGGAAGCTGAAACCCCACGTAGTGTTCTTGAAGAAATTGGACTGACATAACTCCTCCCTTGTTGATGACTTCCTGTGGCATTTCACACTGTAGATGGTCACTGCCTTCATGTCCATGTTAGCTAATGGTGTAAGATGGCGTCTTGTCAGTATTACTGTTTTGCTAAGCTGCTTCATTCAGGCCTACACAAAAATTTTTTTTAAAGGGAATTTTGATTAGTTAAGTGATAACTTAAGGGACTTCAGTCTGAATTAGAATGATACAGAAAAAGATACCCTTTTTGGATACTTTTAAAGTTTACAGGTTTGCTTCTCTTAATCTGACCAATGTATCTATGAAAATGACACAACCTGGTAATACACACTTAACGAAATCACTGTCTTTGGCAAAGGAAACCGTTAAATTCTAATGTGAAACTTGGTTTTATAAAACCAAAGACTCGTTACTTCATTCTATGTGAGAATAAAGGGAGTTGACATGTCACATACATCAAATGAATAAAATTTAACTGTTAAAACTTACCAAAAAATCATACCAAAGACACTTATTGGAAACTACACACCTTAAAACAAAGGAAATACACAAATGACTAAATTGGAATGATGCTGTTCTACACTACAAATGATTTCTTAGCCATTCTGAACCTGGGATGACGAACAGAGAGCAACTATTTCATAGTAGAGAGCTCATTGTTTTTAAGACCAAGGCACACTTGACACCTGGGAAAGTTTTCTGTGGTCACAATCATTGACTCACTCACCTGGACTGTTTTGGGTGTCCCAAAATAAGGAGGAAATTGTGATTTTTTTTTTTTTTTCAGGAATCCTTCATAACAGCCTCTTATGGAAAATGTGTTACTCTTCACAAAGTGTTGAAGTCATTGTTTAAAGCACGGATACTCCTTCTGGGGTACCGGTTACAGACAGTCATATTTATTTTGCTCCCCTGTTGCTTCCCTCCACTTAGAAGTGCTACAAACTGGAGGGCAGCTTCCTTCCCTTCCGCGGCACTGCCTGGTTAGAAAGGTCTTAGAAAGATAGAGACAGACACCGCCTGTCAGAAAAGTGAGCTGAGCGAGGCAAAAGGGTATCAGCAGGCTTCTCTATTTTTTAAAGCTATACAGTTGTTCCGGTGTCACTTTTTTACACCTGCGTTGTAAACGTCTTCACAGTTTACACCTTCATTTGTGTTTGCTGGGCTCGATTAAGCTTTGTTGTGATTGTGACCAATATTCAGGCCACGTGCACTGTCTTACCACATCGCCAATGAGTGTAATAAATGTTCCACATACACCACTGTAGTGTGTTTTTAATCCATCTCTTCCCAAAAGTTTGTCAAACTGGAGAGCTGCCCAAGGAAGAATTTTTCATTTTTTTCAGTAAAATGTTGAAAACTCACCTCCATTTGTGGTGGTTGTTAAAAGCACACACAAGATAAATGGCAGAGGATTTAAGGGGAGTATCCATGTACTTCTTCAAGCTCATTAAAAAATAATGTGGATTCCATGCTACTGAGAGCTTATCTACACATTTATTTTCAATCAATAAATGCCGCTTTTAAAACCTCGACGCACTTGGCTTTTCTGCTTTGTCAATTTCAGCAGGTGATCAAAGGCGTATCAGATCAAGCGGAGGCCCCCACCATCCCCAAGAGCCATTGGTGCCACACGGGCAGGCCAGGCTGATTTGCAAACTACTGCCAGACAGGCAGCAAATCACAGCTTCCGTGTGGCGAAGGCTCGCACCCATTAACCACAGACAGGAAGTGTTGCCTGCCAACACTAGGACATTTGAGAAGGAAGAAACAACTACCACCGAGTTGCTGGTTGGCTAGAGAAAATACATACTTGTGAGACAGGGAGGGCCCCGGGGCAAGGACAGGGCAGGACAGGACTCAAGAACAAAAACTTTGCAGAATTTTGCCGTTCAATTTTCTGTTCCCACGTGCCGGTAAGCAAGAGCTTAAAATCCTGCTGATTCTAGGCCCAGACACCCACTGCCACAGTGTTCCTCGCACAGCGTTTTCACTGATGTCCCAGCCTGGGCATCCCAAGCTCTTGCCAAGCTGGCTGCGATGGGGAAAAAAAGGGGGTCGCAGACCTTGAGACCAGGCCCCTTCGACGTGGAGCTGCAGGCACACACCCTCCGTGAGGTGCTCACCTTGGAGACCGGCACGAGGCCTGCACGACCCCCCGAGCTGAATGAAGGGTGCCCAGTAGCAACAATAAATGGGCATTAGACAGGTCCACGCTCCGTGGTCTCTCAGCCACTCAAGTTTAATTCCTGTCCTCGAAGCCCAGCCCTAAAGCCTGTGTAGCCCTCCCGCCCAGGCACCTTGGGGAGTCTCTCATGCCAGAAAGCTCTCCCCAGGGCTCTTTCCTTGCTCTCCCTCATCAATAAAGATTGACTCTGCCTCACCGGTGTCTGGAGTCCCCTTTTCACTCCTGACCAGAGGTCTCCAGAGCCCTTCCCCAGCCTGATCCCTTCAGGGGGAGCAGTGGGCAGTGGCACGCTCCTGGCTAGTCCGACCCCCCGTGTTGGGGTGGTTGGGACCTGGCTGGGGCTGAGGGCCCGCTCCCGGTCCGGTGACAGTCCAGCTCAGCCATGAGCCAGTCCATGGTCTAAAAAACCACTCCTTCCATCCCGCCATGCCGCCGCCATGCCTTTTCCCTGGGAAAAGGCACCACCGCTTCATAATTATCTTGAGGACAAGCTGGTGCTTATCTTTTTTTGTTCCCCCATGAAGTATTAAGGCTATTCAGTTTGAATACCACATTTAATTGTGTATATCTTGGCTGTGTTTAGTAAGTACTGGAGAATATTGAATTTAGTTGTAATTATCTAACATTAGTGAATCCAATAGATAATTAGAGAAAAACTTCAGTCATTTTTAGGGCAAAGCAGGCAAAGTCTGGAACAAATTGATTTTTAAAGTAAAATGTATTCTGGACCATATACTTAGTGGATTAAAGGACTCTCATTCTCAACACACAGAACTGGTAAACTCCAACCTTGAAAGTTCCTGTTTCGTTTCTGTTAACCTGTGTTCTGTGCATCCTTAAGTCCTTATTTCCAAATCTCAAATTGCCAAATGCCACATACTCTGAAATTCAAGATGCCCAGTATGTCAATGGAAAGGTTACGAGGAAAATGAAAAAATGCGTAAGGAAGCAAGAGCATCTTTTGATGATCTAAAATCTAAGGACACTGTCTTCCCTTAAGCTTTCTTACAGTAGGTTCTCTGACCACCCGTCTGATTTTTTTTAAAGAATTATTTATTTATGCATACAAGAGCTGGGGTACAAGCCAGAGACGCAGGGGGTGAGAGGATTCACCAGAGACAGGACAGGGAACAGAACAGGCAGATGGACCGAAGCACACTGCTGAGGGGAGCAGCGGCCCAGTCAGGAGAGGTCTGCTGCGCCATGTGGGGTGCTCCCTGGCCAGCCGGGGGATGGAACTGGTGCTGCAGAGGCTGCGGACAGCTTCATTGGTTGTGTCTTAACCCCTTGCACCACCGGGGAGGCCCCTCTTCTGATTTTTTAACCAGAATTGCTGTAACACCAGGCATCTAGCAAGGACCCTAATTTTCCTGAAAATGACAGTAAGTTTCACCTGTATATAAAGATCTTGTCAACACACTATAAAAACCACAAACACCCTAATGGAAAATCCCCAGCTGAAGAGGGGCCGCGGATATGGGGTAGGAAGGGAGCGCTTTAAAACCGAGAAAGTGAATTTTTAGGGAAAGCAGTTTAGCTAGTGCATGTAGAAAAAGTCTAATCGGTGATTGGCAAGCATGAACCAAATTTAATGGCTGTTATCTACAGAGAAAAGTGTTTGGCTTAGCCAGTACATACGAAACAAACAGTTAAACACAGCACTTACCAAGTTAGCAAAGTCTAAGTGGGTGTGGGAACTCAGCAAAATCTGTTGATGGAGTAAATTTTTTGTAGTCTTTCTGGAGGACAATTTGGAAATACCTTAGCATTTATCTCCCAATGTAATTTATCCTATGGAAATGATCAGAAATGTGTTAAAGTAGTTAAGGAAATAGACCGCAGGATTGTTTATAGCACAGGATTCTTTAATCGTGTAAAATTTAAAATAAAAATCCAACAATAGGGATCGGGCTGAATAAACAGATGCGCACGAGGCAGAAAGTAACATGAAGAATAGGGTTTGATGAATTACGACAATGTTTCATATGGGAGAAAAGAGCACATTCAACGCAGCTATAAATGATCTTTGTGTAAAAAAAAAAAATTCATGATCACAAAGAGGAAAAAGCTACAGCAATACTCCAGTGTTAGCTGGTTATCGTTAAGGGTCAGGGTAACAGGTACATTTCATGTTATTTACACATTTTAGGATTCCTCCACCAAACATACTGATCACCAGGTAAGAAAAGTATTTGGAACAGGGTTCTCGGCCAGCTTCTTTAGCTCACCTGAGCTCGCGATCGTCTATCCCAGTATGCAGCAGCCGTAATAAATAAGATACAAGCTCTTACGAATAAAAGCGGTTTATTTGGACTTGGGGCTGTGACTCGTTCTGTCTCTACTGGCTGAGCGCCTCCTGCCGCGGCTCCGGGACCTGGAGGAGCTGCGGCTGGGGCTGCGGCTGCGGCTGGGCCTGGGGCTGGGCCTGCGGCGGCTGCGGCTGCGGCTGTCCCGGCTCTGGCTGCGGCGCGCCCGGCTGCGGTCCCTTTTCCTGCCCCGACTTCGCGAGCTGTGCCTTTCGCGGCTGCGGGACGCGTGCTTGCGGGACTTCTTCCCCCCGTGGCTGCCCTCCTCCTCTTCTGGGCCTCCCCGTTCCTCTTGTAGGCGTGCGCCGGGCTGGCGCTCCTCCTGCGGCGCGGCCGCGCGTAGTAGTCGTCGTGGTGGCCCGGCCGCTCCCGCCGGTCCCGGTCCGAGCTCTTGCCGAAGGAGGAGGACGGCCGGTCCGGGGACAGGTAAATGTCCCTGTTCGCTTCCCAGAACTCGTTGTTGGGGTTTCTGAAGACGTGGAGGAAGTTGCAGTGCTTTCCTCGCGGGCACTGCTGGATCTCAAAGAGACCTGCGGAGACAGGGGGAGAGAGATGGGCGGCGGCCCTGCCACAGAGCTGCCTCCTCCGCCTGCGTGTCACTGAGAAACACTAACGCGAACGGATGTCACAGCTCGGGGCCCAGACTTTCCCGTCGTCAAACATTCTTGAACAAACGGCGCTGGGAAAGGCACGATTCGGAACTCTCGGTTAACCAGAAGCCCCCCCCCCGCCCCCCACCGCGCGAGGAGCTGAAGGCAGCGGAACACTGGTGCCTGTGCTCGCCGATGATCAGTGTCCACCCCACTCAAAACTGGAGTCCCTGTGGGTGTCCTGGCGGCTGGACAGAACCACTCTTAAAAGAGAACCTGTTATCTGTGCAAGATCCTGTATCTTCTTTACATTTCAAGAAGAGGATGGTAAATATTGGCCTATTGCTTTAAATTTACCAAGTGTTTTCAATACGGAAGATTCTTGTTAAAGGTGAAATCTGTTTGAATGACTTTGAGATCCTTTTAGGGTTCTCAACTTTCTTTTTTTAAGTAGTATCTCCCCCAAGGAAGCAAAACAGCTAGAAGTGAAATACCTCCGTACCACACCCTCTATACAAAGAGTAAATGGAAATACACCAGAGTCCTCAACAGAAGGGATGAAACATACAAGTAAATCCTGGTGACACTGGGGTAACCAATGCAGAAAGACGAGATAAACTGAACTCATCAAAGTTAGTGGGGGAAAATATTTGCAAATCATATCCTTGACAACGGGCTTATCTGTAGATTAGATCAAGAACTCTTACAACTCAGCATTAAAAGGAAAAATAATCTAATAACTTTACAAAATAGGATAGATTTTTCAAGAAGCTTAAGCAGGTGAGTGTAAAGCAAAGGGCGGGCGGGAAAAGCAGACAGCTTCATCTGTCTGCGCCTGGGGTCCTGCACCAAGAAATGGTGTGGCTGAGGCTGTCTGAGAGTCACAGAACAGCGAGGCCTTCCACAGTGCTGGCCACTCACAGGACTGACCCACCTGCTGACCCAGATTGACGTGCAACTAAATGCAGCGCATGTTATGGGTCACGGTTTAGGTGGCAAAGATGACAGATGACTCTAGGAGTAAAGATGGGGGGAGGGCAGTTGGGGGGATGTAGCTCAAGTGACGGGAACCAAAGAGGAGAAAATACCCCTGAGGTATTCTTCAATGAGGAAGAGGTAGCTTCCCGGTGGCTTCTCAGGCTTCTCACAGAGCTACATAGGGCCCGAGGATGAGAAGTCGGGAATTCTAGGCCCCACTCTGTCACCTCATTGATGAAATGACCCACAGGTCTGTCGCAGATCTAGGACGCGCTGTCCTTATCCGAGGACCTCTGCTCACCGGCGTGAGGCCAAAGCCTACCCCCAGAAAGAGCATGTTTTCCTTAAGAATGCGCTTCACACGACAGTGGACAGAGGGGGCGAGCGTTGTGTTGTATTTTACCACAAATTGCCATTTTCCATCGGGTCACGGGACAGAATTCACACTGAAGCTGCCGCCCAGCATACCATCGGCCGTTAAACAGGGAGAGGGCTGCTTGACATTCTTCTTCCCTTTAAACCACAAAATAAAGAATGCACTTTACAGCACCTCTCGAAAACGGACATTCAGCCTACTGGCAATTAACTCTTTTATTAGTTTATTGTAGGACACTGCAATATTGTAGCCACACTGTGTGTGGCTTCAGCGCCACCTAGCCGGTCCTCATGAAGCATTCGTGCCCCCGCGGCTCACAAGGTGTGCACGCACCTTTTTGACTACCCCCTACGCCTTCTGACACGTGGGCACTGGCTTCAGTCAAAGCTTCTGAAACCAAAAGGCTGGACCATCAAACATGCCAACTTGCTTTCCATTATCAGAGCCGGCGCCCGACGCCTCAGCCAGGGCGGCCAGGCCTCCCCTGCCGTGGCTGCGGAAGGGAGGCCCAGACAAGCAGCAAGACTCCGCAAAAGCAGACTAACGTTACCTGGGGCTTGCATTTCTGCCTCTTTCAATTTGTACTTTTCTACTCTCTGTTCTAGTTACCTCTCTTCGGTTTGTATTTTAATTATTAGAATTATGTAAGTAGGGGCCTCCCTGGTGGCGCTGGGGTTAAAGTCTCAGCACAATCAAGCTACTACCCCCAGCCATTGCAAAATGAGTTCAATCCCCGGCCAGGAAGCTACCCACATGGCGCAGCAGACCTCTCCTGTCTCGCCCGCTGCTCCCCTCAGCAGTGGATTTCAGTAGATCTGCCTGTTCTGCTCCCTACTCTGTCTCTGGTGAATCCTCACCCCCCACACCTCTAACTTACACCCCAGTTCTTATGTGCAAAAATAAATTTAAAAATCTTTTAAAAAATTAAAATAAAATGATATAAGTAAAAAACCAAACAAGCCTACATTGTAAGACACTCCCAATTATGTCAGCATACAAAGATGAAACAGGTATTCTTTTGAAATCCCTTCTATACTTCTCTGTCGACTTGCTCTTAGTATTGGCATTGTTTAAAATGTCATGCCTATGAAAGCGACATAGCCAGTGGGAAAAAACCCAGACTTTAACACGACCACCACATTCCTCTAACAAACGTGAGGACATTTATGTTCAGAATACTTACGATTGATACTGAACATACACATTGCCCCTCAGGTGAGGTTCCAAGTTGCAGCTGACCTAAGGAGCAATGAAGAATTCCATCATTACAAAAAAAAAAAAAAGGTAAAGCATCCCTGTGGTCCAACACACTTTGTTCGCACCGACAGTACCAAAAGCAGTTATCCATCCACTCTCCCACCTACTTAAGGCAGACTTCAGCAGACAGCCACCTCCGAGGCCCCCATTATCCGGTCTCTGCTGACCCACATTCACTTGTTCTCACAGACATGAAATGACTCACATGTGCATAGAAATAGAGAGAGGAAATCAGCCCATTCATACACCACTCAGATGGAACACTAACACTCTCTGGGTTTGCGTGAGCGTGTCGAAATACAGAAAACACTAAACAGCGGCTGATGTAAAAGGAGGAAGTCCTTCCATCCCGTTCTTTTCCCCCTTCCATCACACAGATGAGCCTTCCCGTGCCTCCTTTGCTTCCCAAATGTAAACACCCACCCACATATACCTATCTCCACAGACAAATACCCACAGCTGTACAAACACAGACACAGAGTGCACACTCAGATGGGATGTGCATTTCATAAAATTTATGCAGATATGATATACACATACAAATAAATGTGCCTGCTAGTCACATATGGGTATACACATATTTCTGCACACATATACAAAGCAATGTGTATGTCTTGTTAAACAATAGCAATAGGATATAGTACTGTCTGTACATTTTTTAATTTTATATATTTTATTTCAACCTTTTGAAGATATAATCACAAACTTAATGGCTCATTTTAATTACTATGCAATGGATAGAGCAATTTATCAAATTATTTATGCACTACTTTAATGATGACTATCCAAGGTGCTGCCAATTTTTTACCACCAAACAGAGCTGTGGACAGGATTCTTGAACATATGTCTGCGGGTACAGATTTCTCTTTTGGGGACAGTCAGAAGTAGCTGGGCAATTTATAAGTTACATGTAGCTTCCACTTCACCAGGTATTGACAAACTGCCCTCTGAAGTAGTCTTACTAATTTACACATCCTTGCCCGCTCTGGGTATTAATAGAAGTTATCATTTTTACTTGCTAGGTGTGAATAACATCTCATTTGAATACACACTGTTCTTATGATTAGTTAGACTGAATATTTGATCATTTGTCTTCAAAAATGACAAATCTGATTTCTCATTATATTATGTCATTACATAATGGTATAAAAAAAGGTCTGCAAATCTCCATGCTAATATCACTTTATTTCCAAAACGAGTCTGTATTTTACAAATCTGTTTCAGAGTATTACTGGGACATCCCCCAAAGAGGCCGGGTCAGCACTGAGCTTGGAATACTCTCCTGAGAAGGGAGGCTAGAAGGCTGCCCAAGGGACCTTAGGAATCATTTCATCCCGTGGTTCCCAAGGAGCCATTACTCATTTTCCCCAGGCTGAATTCGATGTTCTGGAAATTTTCTTACTAAAACAGCTCTGCATGTCTAATTGCTAATGTGATCAACATGCGCTTGGCTGACAATTCTAAACAAAAGACAAAACCACGCCATGGTTAGTGATGCGGCCTGTTGCTGGGGCTGTGGGATTTCCGCTAGCCAGTCTGAAGCATTGACAGCAGCTCCACCACTAACTTCGACATGGTCTAAGGGCCCACGATGGAAACCATCAATGTAGTCCAGTTCCCCCACTTCGGGGATGAGGAAAATGTATGGAGAGATCAAGTGAGATGCTCAGGGCACAGGGCAGTCAAGCTACAGGCCCCTGGGCGCTCCTGTGATGAAGCACCTGCCCCAGAGCCTTGCCTGAGCGTGCCAAGAGGAGTGCCAGGATGGCAAGGCACACGCAGCAGCCACAAAGGTAAAGGGGACAGAGGAATCGGAAAAGGATTCTTTCAAATCTTGAAGCTGGCGGAGGGAAGGACAGCCTGGAATCCCACAAGTTCTGCTGGGTAGCAGAGGCCATGCTCCCTGGCTCTTCCAGGGCTGCCCTGTCATTTCCAGCTAGCAGGAAAAAAACACAGCTTTATTCCTTTCTTTTTCCAAATCTGGAGTCATAAAGGCTTTCAGGTTCGGGTCAGATGGCATCTCAGATGAGGCAGGAGGCCTCAGGTAGGCCCCAACGACTGGGGCCTGGAGAAGCCATCATGACCTCTGCTCTACTCTTGCCTTCAGCACCACGTTACAAGAATTCTGTGCCATCTGAATGCCAGATGGCCAGATCACCAACCATGACTTCGGGAATGCTATGTTCGGTACTGAAAGCATTCAGTGAACAAAAACAATGTAAACCAAAAAAAAAAGGGGCCTCAAGATTATGTGCTTGGATAGCTCCAGGACAAAGACCGTGGCCTGTGGGTGGCAGTTACAAGCAGGCACCATCCACGCAACACCACAACAAACTCGGTAAGTGGGTGACACCATCCACTGCTGGCTAGCTGAGGCCCACTACAAAGGCAGGAGGGGGTGCATTCGCCGCCACATGCCGCCCCTAAGGGGATGCTGGCACGGCCCGCTGCAGAGGAGCGTCTGCAGAGAATTCATGGCGGGACCAGAGCTGGGCCCTAAAGGCACTGAATAAATGAAAGCTCCTTTCCACTCAGGATCCTGGCATGCGGCAGACAGCACGCCAGTACTGTGCCATCACACACATGCCCACCCAGGCAATGCCTGTGCCCTAGCTCTCTCGTCCGAGCGGCGACTTGAGTGCTCCTCCAGGCACATTGTGTACGCCCACCTTGAACTGGATCACTTTCCCCACGTTCTTGAATTCGGGGAGCACATCCTCATAGAAGTCCAGGAACTGCTGGTAGGTTTCCTCTTCGCTGTACTCCAGGCTGGCATCGGGGTCGTAGTCGTCCCTTCTGCACTGCTCCATGCCAAACGTAGTAAACATGCTTTTAATAAGAAGGGTGGGGCTCGAGGCGGGGAAGTTGTGTTTCCGTGAACACCTGCACAGCAAAGAAACCATTGGATTCAGCGCCTGCTGCTTAGACATGACCCAAGAAAACTGGGCTTTCAGCTGGGAATAATGACTCAAGCAACTGCCTGTTTTGACTTGATTGTTAAGATAACAACTCAGACATCAGATTTCAACACTTAAAACTTTCTAAGACTTATCAATATAAATAAGCGGGCTCTCGTGAAAATGTAAAGTGAGAACTATTTCCAAGTTCATAGGCCATTCAGTTGCCTTTATTTTTTTTTTAAGATGTATTTACTTTTGCATACAAGAACTGGGGTACAGGCCAGAGGTGGGGGAGGGGGTGAGAGGATTCACCAGAGACAGAGCGGGGAACAGAACAGGCAGACTGACTGAAATACACTGCTGAGGGGAGCAGGGGGCGAGCCAGGAGAGGTCTGCCTTGCCATGTGGGTTGCTCCCTGGCCGGCAGGGGATTGAACTCGTGCTACAGTGGCTGCAGACAGTTTCATAGGATGCGTGTTAACCCCTTGTGCCACCAGGGAGGCCCTCAGTTGCCTTCAGATGAAGGTCAGGAAGCCGTCTCCATGCTGAAGAACGGGGGAAGGCCCACGGCTGACAGACTGGGGTCAGGCGCACTCGGCAGGAAGGTGAGACCCACGCGGTCCTGCTCTCCGTCACCTGGGCTCGCTCAGTGCCCAGAGAGCAGGGTGACCGACGAGTCCCGTCATGATCAACGTCCACGCCCTCTGTGTACAGGCGTCACAGCTCTCCTGCCACGTTTCCACTCTCTCCTCTCATTATCACATTCACAACTGTCGCGACACTGCCCGACAGACCCTCCACTTCGCGAAGACGGAAGCCGAGGCGTAGAGAAGACAAGCCCCCAAGCCACAGGCCGCTGACCCATAGTCCCCAAGATCCGCAGGAGCCGCAGTCCAGTGCCTGCTCACGACGTGGCGCAATGGTTTACGACAACAATTTCCTTGTCAGAGTTTAAACTGGACCAGGCTGTACCTGAGTAACTGCTAAAAATATTTTGCAAGAGTTTGCTTTCTTATTTACTTCCTTGACAGGGGAGGAAATGGAGTTCCAGGTTTCTAATCATCAAAATTGTCCGGTTAGGCTTCTAGCTACAAATTTGACTTAGACAAAAACTTTAAGGCAGGACAATAACAATACAGAGCCACAGAACTGGGGAGAAAAGCGGATGAAGAACAGGTAAGGAATGCTCATAAGCTGATCTGACCACTGTCACCATTTCCTCGAAACCACTCTCAGGGGTGGGTGTCGCTAGTCTCCAGGCCATTCCTCTGCCCGTGGAGAAGCACTGCCACGCAGCTCCTGGAACCACGTGGGCATCTCGCCTCTCACCCATGCCCGACAGCAGGAGGACCCAGAACCAGATGACTGTGAGTCTGGAAACTCAGGGAGGTGTTAGAGACACAGCATGAATGAAGACTCCCGCAGCAGGAAAACCTTAAAGGCAATTTGGTTCAACTATCTGCAGAACTGTGAATTCATATTGGGTCTCCATTGTCTTTGAAGATAATTCACTGTAATAGACTTTGAGGGCACTATGCTTAATGAAGCGAGTCAAATTAAGGACAAATACTGTCTGACCGCACTTATATGTGGACTCTTAAAAAAACAAACAACAGGAACTCCTCAGCACTATGACATTATCGCCAGCCACTGTGCCGTGAGTTGGATCCCCGGCCAGGGAGCTGACCCACATGGCACAGCAGACCTCCCCTGTCTCTCCCTCTGCTCCCCTCAGCAGTGTACTTCAGTAGATCTGCCTGTTCCGCTCCCCACTCTGTCTCTGGTGAATCCTCTCACCCCCGCTCCCCACCCCCTGCACCTCTGGCCTACATCCCAGTTTTTGTATGCATAAATAAATAGACTAAATCTTAAAAAAAAAAAGTAATGCTTTCTTAAAAAAAAAAAGCAAATAACAAAACTAAGCTCCCAAACACAGAGAACAGACTGGCGATTGCCAAGACCGCGGGTAGGGGTCAAAAAAGGGAGTCAAAAGGTACAAACTTCCAGTTGTGAACCAGTGAAGTCCTGGGGACGGGCACGGCAGGGGCACTGTAGTCCACAGCACTGCGCTGTGCGTCTGGAAGCTGCGGGTAGACATAATTTTTAAAATCTTTCTAGAGGGTTCTAATAGGCAAGCAGGGTTGAGAACCACTGTTCTTACAAAATATAAATTGGTGTGAAGGCTTAAGTTAAAAAGGAAACAAGATAGAGAAGGTTCCTATTTTCAAAGAAGGAAATGAAACTCACGAAAGGATAATTTTATGAATAAACGCGAGGGGCACAGCCAGTTTCTCATTATGTACTCATGGATTTGCCTATTCGTGTCCCTTCTGCGGGCGAACAGTGATGAAGATGCCATCAGAGTTCTGCCCCGCAGCATGCACAGCAATGATCAGATGCTGCCTCAGATGCAGTCCTTCACCATGATGAATCATTCACCCACTTGGGGGTGTTCATTCATAAACCAGCCAAATTATAAAAATCACCATGCCGGGCAACCAGTAGGTATTTAAATATTAGCTAAATGAATGAAGGCAGTGACACTAAGATTTCCACATGAATGTTTTGTTTCTAAAACATCAATCCAAAAGCGGCAGGAGCATGAGGGTCTCTGAGATTAAGGGGAGCAGTAACACAAGGAAAAAGGCCGCAAACTCAGTCACAGAGGTGACTAGGTCTGCCAGGTTTTGAAAGCCTCTTTTGTACACAAGTGTTTCCCGTTCAAAAAATAAAGCCAGGCCCACCCGGCTCTTAAAATAGATTATTTCCCCTCCAAGTTGTCCCATGGGGACTAATACAAGCACGGGAAGAAAACAAAGAGCCAAAGGTCTTCAGAAAGCTGTGGCAGGAGTGCAAAGGCAGCATGGCACTGTCAGAGAACTAGGCTGGACCCACTGAGGGGCAGCAGGGGACAGGAGAAGCAGCCAGAACACAGCAGATGCCTGACTGGGGACACCGCACACTCCAGCCTGGGAGACCTCCCCTCCCCAAAGAGAACTCAAGAACCTTGACATTTTGCCTCGTTGAATTCTGACCCAATAAGGCAAATTAGTTACCTATCTCCAAATCTGCAAGCTCCAGTTTTACTGTAGAATGGACAGTTGGCTCGATCTTTCTCCATTATTCTCAAGTCCGTGGGAGGTTCTGGGTTTTGCCACGTGGCACCATTTTCCAGCTGTTGAAAATAACCATTTTACTGGTGGTGTAAAAATCCACAAAGCTCAGTGTTTAAGATGTATTAAAATACTTCAGTCAAAAATTAAAATGGATTCATTTGAGGCCAGACACACTGAGGCTGTAAGACATAATTGCGACTTCACAAACGACTACCCTGAGACACAGCTGTATTTCTCTGTTGGTTCCCAGTCCGTGTCCACTATCGGGCATCACTACGGCTACCAGGAACGGTCACCCAGGTTTCCCTTCTGTCCGTCCATTCTGAAAAGGGTCAAAGGACTTCTTGGCAGGGAATCACCAGAGAGAAATCTAAGTTACTCTGAATCAAATTAAACCTTCCATTTGGAGGCAAGAGTGGCTGCTATTGCTTACACACTCTTTAAGGACTATAAATAAGTTCAGTCCACAGAGGTGATTCCATATCATTTGCTGTTGTTTATCAGTCAACTTTTATGGGGCTGGTTGTTGCAGAAATCACAGATTCACAAGTGATTCCAGATATTCAGATGTGATGTGAAGTAGCTTCCCATAAAATCAGTATTTACCAGAAAGAAAATGTTTTCTTTTTAACAAAATGTTAATTGGTCTCAAGTTGATTTTAATGTAAGGTTTTAGAATTACCTCATTTTCAGCTTGTTCCAGCATCTTCTGCACAGCTTCCTAGAAATGGTGCAAACACAGGACTCATGAACACCTGGAGGTCAGGTAAGTCACTGCTTTCTCTAAACTGCATTCTCTAGTTCAGAATCTCAAGTGCAGACTTGCAAAAAACCCACGCATACAAAAAAGTTCAGGTTCTGATTTGTTTCTACAGCACAGATCTTCTGGAAAACTTTCAAAGGATCTATAGATGAGAATTTTTGTTCAAGTAGGACATTTAATTGTTCACATTGCAAAACAGTCTTAGGACAGTTTCAGTAACAGCAATATTTTGTATAGCTGAACAATTATACCACATTCTAGTTTTCAGGATGAATATTCTAAAAACATGACACTTGCTGAAACATCACAAATGTTTAACAGATGCTAAAATAGGACATGGACAGTAGTAAGTGTGACTGATGAAAACTCTTAAACTTACACAAGGACTAGAAAATTCTATAATATGCCAGTAAATTTTTACCGCATTGACATTTCCAAAAGTTTTAAATTTTGTTCTGAACAGAATTCTCTTCCCTAGCCCCCCAAAGCATCACCTAGCTGCTAACTGATAACTCCCCTGGTCCCCTAAGGGTCCCCTTAAAGTGATCCAAAAGAACTTGTGTCCTCCCCACCTCCATCCACCCAAAGCCCCACCTCAGCAACTCCTGCCCACTGGCTCAGGCTGAAAACCTAGAAGTCTCCTCAATTTGTCCTCCCTGTCTATCCAGTCTACCAGCTCGAGTCTCCCCCTGACTCTGCCGCAACAGACCCCAAGTCTGCTTACTTTCCTCATCCGAACCATCCCCCCTCCTGTCCGGAACAGCAGCCCTTCTAAAGGTCACCTCATTTCCTTCCACTCCTCCTTGGTCCCCACCCCCCTTTCTTTATACAAAAGTTAGGGAGATCTGTTAAAAGCAAAGATATACATCAGGCGAATTCTCTCCCTGTTTGAAAATCCTTCTATGGCTTCCCAGTACACTTACCACAAAACCCAGACTTCTTCCTACATGAGGCCTGCCGTGATCTGACCCGGCCTCCCTCCCCAACCCCTCCTGCCCAGCTGCTCTCTCCAGGGTCTCCAGGATTCAGGCCCCTGACCTGGCAGCTCCGTACTCAGGCCTCTTCCCCCGCCAGGACCCCTTCTCCGGACATCTTTGCCCTCAGGTGTCAGCTCAAACATCGGCTCCTCAGAGAGGTCTTCCTTGACCAGGTGAGCTACACAAGTTCCTCCCGCCCATCACTGTCAGGCCACTCTGGTTTACTCCTTAGGGCACTTAGCATAACCTTGTAGCACTTAAAATGATCTTTGTTGCTGACTTATCATTCGGCTCCGCCAGCTAGAAAACCAACTCAACACGAGCTGATTGCCTTCCTCGCTGCTGTCTTCGTCCACGAGAGACACCGAGCACACAGCGGAGGCACAGGCGCAGGCCCTTCACATAAGCTTAGAGTGGGCCTCATATTACCTACTTCCCCTGAATTTTCTTTTGAAATAAACCTTTCCCCTTTTGAAAAGAAGTTGAGCTTTTGTCTGAAAGACCTGAATAGAACATTCTACTGTTAAAATGGGAATTGATTACTCATTATTAAAAAAATGACTAGCTCCAAGCAATATTCCTGCCCCCTAAAAACTGAACATGAGCTTGCCTCATCTGGAAAAAAGTGCACCCATGAAGGTGTCTAAAATCTACCCTGGAATAAACTGCCAACCTGAGGCCCAAAGACCAAAGGGCATGGAGGTGAGTGACTTCTACCCCATCAGGCCTAGGATGTAAACAAATGAATTTTCCCTCATAACTACCCAACGTTATGCTATTCAAACTTAGCAACGCTGCAGAAAATAGATATTCTGACAAAGAAAGATGAGCTATGATGACTGTGAAAGACATATGTTATTAATGAACAGCAGCAAAACATAGCAAATCTATCTTTACAAAAGCCTGGAAGAGGTGGAAGACCTACATATACCTCATAGACTTTCTAATGAGCAACTATGGGTCAGCAACAATCGCCTCTACAGGCCAAGTTAGAAGGAAGTTAAGATGTAATAACAACCAGAAACATTCTCTAATTCTTCAAGATGTGAGTTCCAGACTTCTTGCAATCTACTAGCTCTTGTTCACCTATTACAAGCACTTAAGTCTCTAACTAAATAGATGGGAATCACACAAAATATTACTCTTTAAATACGTCAACTTATAACCTCAGCAAAATACCATTTGCTCTAAAGTGCAGGGACCAGCTGCACACTTTTGTAAATGAAGTTTTGTTAGAATGGGGCCATAACCACTCATTTATATCTGATGTGTGGCTGTTCTCCAGGGGCACCGACAGAGCTGGATATTTCCCACAGAGGTCATGTGGACCACAGAGCCTAAAATATTTACTCTGTGGTCCTTTACTGAGTAAGTTTGCCAGTTCCTGGTACAAAGGGTAAAAAGGGTAAAGGGGAAGAAAAACCTTGCATTTGGATATGGGCCACTGCACAGACACAAAGAAGTGCATCAAAGGTGCAATATTGTAATTTATAGGAAATATAGACCTTCGGTCATTTACGTGACCAAAATACATCTCTCACACATACTTGCTTTTCACCCACAGTTCCAGGCTCACCACTTCCCCAAAAGCCTTGGGATTTCCTAAGTGTTGAGAGTGACATTAGCTTCTTATTATGCTAATGAGGCAAACTTTTGGGATGCACCTAAGGCAGGGAGACTGGTTGCCAGGGGAACCAATTGCTGATTAGAGGGTAGGAATTTCCGGTCCCATCCCCCCAACCTGCAGGGAGGAGAAAAGGGGGTTGACTTCATCACCAAAGGCTAATGATTTAATCATGCTGCCTATGGTAATGAAGCCTCTATAAAAACCCAGAAGGAAGGGCATGGGGAAGATTCCAAGCCAGTGAGACAAGGAGATTTGGGGAGATGGTACCTCTGGAGAAGGCATGGAAACTTTGGGAACCTTCCCCATACCTTGTCCTACACACCTCCTCCATCTGGCTGTTTCTCAGTTACATACCTTGGACTCAGTCAGTAATGTAGTGAGTAAATGGATTTTCTGAGTCCTGAGTCATTCTAGCAAATTAATCAAACATGAGGGGGAGGTCCTGAGAAACTGATTTATCATCAGTAAGAACCCCAAGTAACAGCCTGAGCTTGCAGCTGGCATATGAAGAGCAGGTCTTGGGAGATGAGCCCTTATCTGCGGAAGCTGAGGTTATGCAATCATGAAGTGAGTAACTTCTGTATTAAGCTGTGCTCTTTTCTAAGAAGTGAAATGGGAGAGCAGTAGTCAAAGAACTAGGCCCAACTGGTTATCCCCAAGATGGCAACTAAGTGCCCTGCACCTAAAAAGATGTGTGAAAAAGTGCAAAAGGAGACCCACTGCATGTGCGCTCAAGACTCCAACCTGAAGTGTGAACACACTAGTCTCCCAGATAAAAAGAACGCCCCTGCCCCCGGGCTCAGGGAGAAGGTGCTTTTGAATAGGAGCTCTCCCTTCCCATAGCTTGTCAGGCAATAAAGTTCTGGGTCTGTTAAAGCAAACCTGGTTTCTGAATTTCTGGCTTTCCATCGCCAAGCAAATGGACCCTCCCCTTAAAGGGGCTTGGGTAACACTATCTCCAGGCACAGTGTCAGAACTGAGTTGATTCTCAGACCCTGCCTGTTGAGAATTGCCTGTTGGCATGGGGAACCTCCAGACCCACAATGGAGTTGGCTGCTGGCCGCCAAAACACATAAGGAAATCTAGTGTCCACACTGACACCACAACTCTTTCTAGACAAAATGACCCGGCCCATCCTGCCAGCACCTCAGAGTTTCGTGAGAGCTGCATTTCCAAAGTGTCCATTACCAGGAAAAACCCATGGTTGCACTTGGTGCCTGGAAAAAACCAAAACCACAAGGAGCACAAACTGAAGAGCCTGGAGCCTGCGCGCACCCCCACACCCCATGCCCACTGCTCAGGAAGAGGAGGTAAGGTACAGTGGTTTGCTTATCCTCCTGGGAGGGCAGTCACCTCTCTTTCTTTCTTCTCCTGTAGCTTCTGCTCCTCCTCTTCTCTCTCTCTTCTCTGCTGTTCTTCCCATTCTTCCTTTAACTTTCTCTGGATGGGGGTGGGGGGCAGGACGGGGGTGGTAAAGAGAAGGAAAGGTAATTTCTTTTTCAGATTCACTTTTTGAAGACATTTAACACACATGGCAAATAAATGAAACACTTCAACAATATGATAACATGGATTAAGATCAATTTTCCTTCAAGTTCTAGATAGATCATAAGGAGAGTTGTTTTGGCAAAGTCATTAGTCAGTGAACTGGTTGTCTGATCACTACAGTACCTCTTGTTCTTCCTGCCGTTTCCTAGCTGCCTCTTCTTTTTCCTTCTTTATTCTGAACTCCTCTTGTGCCTTCTGCTCCCGCAGCAACCATTCCTCATGTAATTTTTGCCTATTGGTGGAATGGTGTCAACCAATGAAATAAATGGGCGTTAGCAGACCAATACAACAAAATTGCACATTTGGGAATGACTAAACTATCATGAGAGAGACTTTCCAGAAAGCAGTTAACTGGGGGTAAGAGGGCCAGAAGAGATGAGTAGCAATCTGGGAAAAACACTACATTTCAGCAACGATCTTCTAGGAGAAGAGCTGGTCCCAATCTCTTGCCCAATCTCTGGCAAGAGATTCACATCTTGACACCGACCTTTCACAGTCTGACATCTTTCCCTGCGCTTCATCACGGTGATGTTTAGGTGCCAGTAAAGTAACAAGCTTCAAAGCAATTTACTAAGAAGGGCTGATAATTGTGTAGAAGTGGCTCTCTCAAGGACTGAGAATCACTCCTTGGAAATGTAATCATTGAGAAGGATAAGGCTGTTGGTGAACAAAATGTAGTATATACAGATGCTGAGTTATAATGTTGTGCACCTGAAACTTCGGCTATCAATTAATGTTACTTCGATACAAAAAAAATTAACAACAAAAAAGAAGGATAAGGCCTCTTTGTCATAATCTCTGCAGGACAGAACTCTCACTTCCTATCTGCCAGCTAATCAACTGGCCTCGTCACATTTCCTTGGAGTAACCCTTGGTACTTTTTGCTTCTCTGACCCTACTGAGCCTCTGCACAGCCTAGACTCTCATACTCCCTTTGAAAGGCCCAAACCACCTTGGAATGGACTCAGTTTTTTCCAAGACTCTCAGGAATTATTGAATAAAAGCGATTCTCACAACTTCAACTAATGTCTGGCTGTATTTACCTTTGATATTAGGTATCTGCTAAAAGTAGTATGTAAAGTCATGCAGTATTTTCACATCCATTCATTTTCCTGCTTCTCAACAATAAAGTATTATACAGCTTGTATAGGAATAAACAAAGCTCAAAGGAACACATAGATACATGTGATTTTAAAGAAGCATCTCAAATAAGAAGCATCTCAAAGAAGCATTTCCAGTAAGATTTAACCAAATCTCCAACTCAAAAGTATTTAATACCATATATATTATCATCATAACAGAAACATATAATAAGAATAACCAGAGTTATTACAGCACCTTGGTTTGTGAACCTTCTGTTAAACACCATACTCTAATCAGCTAATTTCACCTACCCATAAGGCAGGTACTATGATAGATTTTATCTCCATATTTAAGGCAAGGAAACTGAAGCTTAGAAAGATTAAGACACTTGAACAGTGCTAGTAAGTAGCCGCGCCAGGACTGGAACACAGATGAGCCGAATCTGACTCCAAGCTCCCAATCATGACAACATTTTTGGGGTTTTTAGCATTTTGATTATTCTACCTACTGGCGTGCTTAGCTAGGTAATAGGAATTAATTACAAGAAGCAACATTTCCAATGTACATGCTAAGCAGCTACAGAATTCTATAAAGTTCTTTTCCATTTAAAAAAAAAATCTAAATTTATTTTTATTGTGGCAAAATAAACATACCATAAAATTCACCATTCATTTTAACCATTTTAAGTCTACAGTCAATAACATTAAGCACATCCACATTACTGCGTACCACCTTTTCAAAATAAATAAATAAAACTAGCCCCTGAAAAATACTAAAAGAAAAAATAGAATAGTTTCATCATCTTGGGATGGGTGAGGTCTTTCTAAGTCAGACACCAAAGCCAGATATCACGATGCGAGTTGACAATGTGAAGATCAAATTATGCTCAGTAATGCTGTAGGACTGATGACAAGAAAAACACACATCACATACATGAAAGACAAGAATTAATATCCTTAGTCAAGTAATAACATTGCTCTGTATGCTGAAAACTATAAGACACAGATGAATGAAATTGAAGAAGAGACAAATAAATACATATTCTGTGCTCATGGATTGGAAGAACTGATATTGTTAAAAGGTCCATACTACCCAAAGCAATCTACAAATTCAACACAATCTCTTATCAATATTTCAATGGCGGGCCTCCCCAGTGGCGCAGCGGTTGAGCGCTGGGTTGCAAAGCTGCCCACAGCCTCTGCAGTGCCGGTTCCATCCCGGGCTGCTCCCCGACCGGAGGAGGGTCCCACATGGCGCGCAGACCTCTCCTGCCGCCCGCTGCTCCCCTCAGCAATGTACTTCGGTCCTTCTGCCTGCTCTGCTCCCCGCTCTGGCTCTGTGTAATGTTGGTTGCTCCCTGGCTGGGGATGTGCTGCAGAGGCTGCGGACTACTTCATAGTTTGGTGCTTAACCCCTTGCGCCACAAGGGAGGCTCTCACCCTCCTCACCCTCCCGCGCTTCTGACTGTACCCAGTGCTTGTATAAATAAATAAATCTTTTAAAAAATATTTCAATGGCATTTTTTATAGAAATAGAACAAACAATCCTAAAAATTCGTATGGAACTACAAAAGTCCCTGGACAATCAAAGCAATCTTGAGAAAGAATAAAGCTGGATGCATCATGCTTCCTGATGTCAAACTATATTAGAAAGCTATAGTTATCAAAAACAGTATGGTACTGGCATTGAAACGGACACAGATCAATCAGTGGAACATAGCAGAGAGCCAGGAAATAAACCCACACACATATGGTCAATTAATTTACAACAAAGGAACCAAGAATATACAACAGGTAAAGGGCAGTCTCATCAATAAATGGTGTGGGGGGGGCCTCCCTTGTGGTGCAAGGGGTTAAGCACCAAACTATGAAGTAGTCCGCAGCCTCTGCAGCACATCCCCAGCCAGGGAGCAACCAACATGACACAGCAGACCTCTCCCGACTCTCCCACTGCTCCCCTTAGCAGTGTACTTTGGTCAATCTGCCTGTTCTGCTCCCCACTCTGTCTCTGGTGAATCCTCTCACCCCCCTGCATCTCTGGCCTGTACCCCAGCTCTTGTATAAATAAATAAATATTTTTAAGAAATAAATAAATGGTGGGAAAACTGGACAACCAGATGCAAAAGAATGAAACTAGACCACTGTCTTATACCATACACACAAACTAACACAAAAAGGATTAAAGACTTGAACTGAAGACCAGAAACCATAAAACTCCCAAACAAAAACATAGGTGGTAAGCTCCTTGACACCATTCTCAGTTGTGACTTTTTTGGATATGATTCCAAAAGCAAAGGCAATAACAGCAAAAATAAATATGAGGGGCCACATCAAACTAAAAAACTTTCAATGAAATAAAAAGGCACCCTACTTAATGAAAGAAAATACCTGCAAATCATGTCTGATAAGGGGTTAATATCCAAAATATATAAACAACACATACAACTTAATAGCCAGAGGCCAGGGAGCTGACCCACATGGCGCAGCAGACCCCTCCTGTTTTACCTGCTGCTCCCTTCAGCAGTGTATACCAGTAAATCCCCCCATTCTGCTCCCACTGTCTCTGGTAAATCCCCTCACCCCCCTCTGTACTTCTGGCCTACACCCCAGTTCTTCTACACCCTCCCCCCCAAAAAAGGGCAGTGAATCTGAATAGACATTTTCCCAAAGAAAACATCTAGGCACATCAATAGCCATAAGACATCAGGGAAATGCAAATCAAAATCACAATGATCTATCAGCTCACACCTGATTAATTATTATCAAAATGACAAGAAGTAACAAGTGCTGGCAATGCTATAGAGAAAAGGGAATACTGCGTGCTGTTGGTAGGAATGTAAGTCTGTTTTGTCACTATTGAATACAGAATGACAGTTCCTCAAAACACTAAAGATAGAACCACTATGTGATCCAGTGATTCCATTTCTGGGTATTTATCCAAAGAATATGAAAACACTAAGTCAAAAAAATATCTGCACCCCCATTGCAGATGGGGGGTCCATTGCAGCCTTATTTATAATGGCCAAGGCAAGGAAACAACCTAAGTATCCATCAGTGGATGAATGGAAAAAGAAAATGGGGTATGTGTACATGAACACAAACACACACACACACACACACACACACACACACACACAATCTAAGACTATTCAGCCATAAGAAAGAATGAAATCTTGCCATTTTTGATAACATGGGTGAATCCTGAGGGCATTGTGCTATGTGACATAAGTCAGAGAAAACAAATACTATATGATTTCGCTTATATGTGGAATCTAAAATACAACAAGCTGATAGATACAGAAACGAGGTTAGCAGTTGCCAGAGGAGGAGTGAGGCATAGGGGAAATGGGTGAAGGGGGTCAAAAGACAGTAATTTCCAGTTATAAGATAAATAAGTCTTGAGAATAGATTGCGCAGCATGGGGACTATAGATAATAATACAGTAGAGCATATCTGAAAGTTGCTAAGACACTAGACCTTACAAATCCTCATCACAAGGGAAAAATGTATAATTACATATGGGGATGGATGATAACTAGACTTGTTATGGTGATCATTTCACAATATATACAAATAATTGAATCATTTAGTTGGATACCTGAGAGTAATGTTATGTCGATGATATAACAAAAAATATCTGCATTTAAATTTTAAAAAGTTAAAAAGTAGTACTATTGCGTATACAACACATGTTATAAAACGTTTCCCAAAAAAAGATGTAAAACTTAAACAATCTACAAATCACTAATATAGAAGAACGTATTCATGGGCTCACTTCTGTAGCACATATACTAAAATGATACAAAGAAGATAAGCACGGCCCCTCGAGAAAAAGACATGCAATCTTATTTTTAATGAAGAATCACAATTCTTCATTATAGGCATTTTAAAAGTTGATAATGCTTAGTCTGAGTGCCGGCAGGGGGAGATAGCCACCTTGATCCCTGTTGGAAGGGCAGCAAACTCCAAACCAGGATGCCATTTCTACCCAGACATCTGTATTTGACATGTACTGTGCTTTAATCCCAGCAATTTAACTTCTAGACATTTTCCTAAGGAAACTATAGGGCAGCTACCAAGGATATATAAGCCTGGATGTTCACTGCAACTTATGTACTAAACTGAATGCAAATAGTTAATTAACAGTAAACAATAATTACAAATAGTAACTGAATGTTATTTCATAGTACTGAATGTTATCAGCGCTTACAACTGTGAACAAAGAATGCCTTAAGCTACATCCATCCAATGGATACTATGTTTCTATTGAAATAGATGCATTAGATCTCTGCATTAAAGCTGAAATGTCTTTTAGCAAAAAAGCAACTCATAGAAAAACTTATACATACTATCCCATTTAGAAACATAAGTGTATAATACATATATGCTTTCCTTTTTTTACATTCTTTCCTTCCCTGTCCTCCCACCCCGCCCCCCATATCTAATGAAATAAAGTTGGTTCACATCCTTATGTCTGCTTTGGGGGTTTTAGGTTCAAACCTCTACAAATGTATGTTTTCACACGATGCCTATCATCAGGATTCTCCATGTTCCACTGGGCTCCCCTCCACCACCCCGAGTCCCGCCCTGCCACCTTCCCCTTCTGGATGTCTGTTTAACAGTCAGATGTCAAGGATTTATTATTGGTCTGACCCTTTGTTTCTCTGTAGTCCACATGTAAGTGAGACCATTCATGTATGTCTTTCTCCTTCTGACATATTTTGTTTAGTATTATCCCCTCCAGCTCCATCCATGTTGTGGTAAACGGCAAGAGTTCATGTTTTTTATAGCTCAGTGGCATCCCATTGTGCACACACACATGTGTGTATACACACACACACACACACACACACACACACATACACAAGCATGGTGTTTTTCTGATCCACTCCTATGTCCTTGGGCATACCTTCTTAACAGTGGTTATCTTTGGGGGTAATACATTCACTGAAGCACTTTCACTTTTTACACTTATTTACTTGGAGTTCTTTTCAAAAACATTTACAAATTAGTGAAAAGTAAAAAAAGTCATTAAAAACGTACACATCAAAGCAGTTCTTTTAATTAAAGTGTTTGCTAACAGTTTAACAGAATTAAACAAAAGAACCCTTGAAAATAAATTGATTATAAAGAAAATATTCTTTTGACTTGCAACATGAGCTCTGAATGAATCCAGTATCATCAATACAGGGCTTCATTGCTGTAAGTCTTCCATTAATCATTTATCATCCATTAAAAAAATAAAAGTTTCTAAATGGCATCTAGTTTTAGCCAATCAGCTCGATTTAAGTGGTTTATCCAGGGTAATTTATAAGACCTGTTTTGTACAAGATTTTATGAAGACCCATATTAGTTAATGAAGACTTATAACATTCAAATAAAATAAATGGGATGACAAGAAGAGTTTCAGTCAGTGCTGACCTCTCGATCTCCAATAGCTCCTCTTCTTCTAGTTGTTTTTCTTCAATAAAAGCTTCTTCTTCCTCCTCCTCTTCCTGTGAGAGTCCTGAGGGAAATTTATATATTTTATCAAACTATCTGAACATTACAGAGGCTTGGTCAATAACTCAGGAAAAAAAAACCGAACTACATACAGTCTTTAATCCTTACAATTACAATATAAACCTTCTTTGTAAAACTTTCTAATGATACAGGCTCCAACTGCTCAGATTTGGCACAATGTGAAAAACAAAAAGAACAGTAACAGTTGTAGATAACACATCAAATTAAAATTAATTGACGGTTCCATAGTAACATTCAAAAAGGGTGTGAAAGGGAACATCTGCCTTTAGAGAAGAATGGCAATTGAAAAATGTAGAAAGACATAAGAAAAAATGCCACCATTTTTGCAAGCCCCATGGTAAAGGCTAATTTAGACAAAGATGCTGAAAACATTGGATGAAAGCTTGTCTGGAAGAGGTTACTTAATTTGCTCCATCTGAAAATATCAGCTGCAGAGGAGTACTAATTGCAGTGGGAGCAACATCATTCCAGTGGCACACTCGGGACGGGGGCGGGGGGACACGCCTGGGCCCACACATAGGATCATTTGGAGTGAGCAACCTGGCACAGGCCCGTGAGGGATGCCATGAGAGGCAGACAACATCAGCTCTGTTGTATTTTGCACAAAGAATGTGACCCAAAGCTAATTCAGGGAGGAATGAATCCAGAACAAAAGGCATTCCAAACTGGCTTGAAAGTTTCAAAATAATCAATCTTAGTCTGTCACAGCACTGAACTACTGTTCCTTCACTTGGCTATAAGTGTGGCATTATGGTCCTTACCCTTAGGAGCCACAGGCTGAGATATTTAGGGGTAGGGGGTTATGATATCTGCAACTGACAAAGGGCTCAGAAAAAAATCTATGTATGCATGTATCTATCTATATAAAGAGAGAGGGAAAAGAAGGTAAAATGTTAACAACTGGCAAATCTAGGTGTTTATTGTGTCTTTTCAAGTTTCTGTCTGCTGGAACATTTTCAAAATAAAAATATGGGGAAATATTTTTAATAGAATAAAAATGTGCATCCTGCCCTACTCTAAATTTGAGGGAAAAGAGAAGACAACTGAAGTTTTTTTAATTTTCCTTATTTCTTAAGAAAATACAACAGAAGATCTCAAGCTTCAGGAGAAAGGCTTTGTGTGTCACAAACATTGACTATAAAGTTAATCAAAAGGTAGATAATTGCAATAATTACAATAATTTACTTTTCTTAAGTAAACTTTATTATTTCAGCACCTGATTAAAAGAAAAGAGGAAAAAACTTTAAGATAAATGCTAACTCAGAGTAATACCTAACTATTCAGATAATTAAATGATCATAAAGGCCCTTCCAGAGAACCTAAGACAAAGATTATCCATAGACTAGACCTTCCTGGACACAAAATATCTGTCACCTGATGCTCTCAGCTCCCCACCCTCCCTCAAACTCAGCCCACACACTCCCAAACAGTTCTGCATGTAGCATTTCCTCCATGTGTAAAACAAATACATGCAAGGATACCTTTAAGTACAATATATCTAACTTTATCTAGTATATATAATGTGCTGAATACACAACATTTATAATGTATATATATTAAATACTAGACTAAATATTAAATACTAGACTAAATACAATAACTCTATAGTATGTATATAATACATGCAACTGTATGGATGCAATAATCATGCTCTAGTTTTACAACTTGCTTGTTATACACTTAATTTCTTTCTGACAAGACAGCTCATTTCAGATTATTACAAATAGAACTGGGTGCTAAAGAGGCTACCTGCAATTGAGAGATCGAAATTTCAGAAATTTACACTAATCATTTGCCAACTCACTCTTACTGCATTGAGCTCTACATTGTAGCCTTCCAGGTAACATTCCATCCATGGTGCACTACAATGAATGGCAGTGTTCAGGAGGCGACTTTATTCATGAAGCACTGCTCAGTAAAGAACTGTGTGCTGGAGTGGGCAAAAGTAGGAGCAGTAGTGCAGAGACAAGTGCTGAGTCTTGTACCTGCCATTAGCTGTATGATCCTGAGCAGACCAGTGACTATGAACTTCCACTGACTAAACTGCCAAAGGACATGTTCCACCGGTCTCTACACAAAGGTTCACTCTAAATACACTTTGCAAAGTCTAAAGAGAAAAAAATATCAACACAATGTAAACAGCAGCTCTTGGATTTAAAATAGGATAAGAAGAAGAGAGGCTTAAAAAAAGTACATTATAAAAAAACAGGTTAAATGAATAAAGTAGTGTAACTGAGAATGTTAAGGGACTCAGTAACTCTAACCTACTGTTTTTCCTTTTATCCCTGATGCTTTAACCTGACTCTATTGGTCAGCTTTGAATGTATTAAAAAAAAGAAAAGCTGACACAAGCTGCAGGTAAAAACACTGTTTCTTCCATTCTAAATATCGCAACCATTACTACTGGGTATCTACAATGGAAAATAAAACCTCTGCGGTTATGCTTCTCGAGGCCCAAAAATCCTGGTTACTTGAAGCAATGGTCTACAAACTTCAAGAATTGTCTAGGATAATTTAATGAGCATTTTATGTATATTCTGGATGGGAACCATTATATCCCAGTACTGCTGCATGATTCTAATACTTTCACCTGCATTTACATCTACTATCTCATTTTTACAATTAAGCCAGCAGTATTAATTTCATTGTCTTAAACAGGCAGGCTTAATATATAAATGTTTAGTTCTCCCGTATGAAGGCCAAATGGCACCATGGCCAGGACATATGAAGTTTCTACAGTATTTCAATAGGGGGGGGGGGAAGGTAAATAAGCACAGAACAGTAGTAGTAGAGGCACCACAAACTGCAAATGGTATCATATTCCTGTCATAAGCACCTGGTTCCCATCATCCCTAAATTACATTAATGGAAATTTGGATTTTACTGGATGTGTAATTTCATTTGCTTTTATAATTTGGAAATGTATCTTCTCATAGTTAAGTAAGTTTCATAACTAGCTTTTATGCTTATAGACACTTAAAATAGTCATTTGAGTCAACAAAGGGACTCTGATGTTACTCAAGTTTAAGAAAAACTTGCAAAATGTCTAAAACCCTCAACTCCTACTGGTTTTACAAAGAAAAATATTCCCCCAATACTTACTATGTGCATGAGCTGTGCTAGTTGCTGTAATTCATGATGCCTGCACCTGTAATATTAGATACTTCATAAATACTTACACATAATCATTGGGTGATGATTCACCGTGACATTTTTCCCCCAGTTTAGTGCGTTCACATGGTTTCTGACACGCAAGTCTTTATTAGATAACAGTCAGCACTGGCTTCCTTCTGCACTGGAGCCTCAAGTTAGGACCGGAGTGGGGAGAGCAATTTCATACACAGTACACGGGAGGAGCCGTAAGTTACCTGAGTCTCTCAATCGAGCGAGTTCCTGCCGACGTTTCTTTCGTTTCTCCTTCTTCAAGGCGGCCCTGTGCTTTTTGTGGCTGGAAGATCGAGACAAGCACACACCAGCGTCAGTGGCGGCGTCTGCAGCGTGGTGAGTTCCCCTCTGCTCTGCGCCCAGTGTCAGGAAATCGCTCGGGTGCTGGGAAGGGAAATCTTGCTCCCCGTGTTTTAACCACACAGCATACGTGTACCATCGCCTCGCCCTTCCACACCCAGACAGCAGGTCCTCTCCATCCCGCCACCTGTTCCTCTCCTCACTTCCCTGAACCAGACGCCGATGACAGCTCGGGGTGCGCCTCGGGAAGGGCTGGGGCTCCTGCGATGGCTCGCCCGCCCGGCCCAGATGGGCTTTCCTTCCAGCCTACACATCGTCCCGGCCCAGCCTCAGCCCGAGCGCTCCCCCCAGGCGCCAGGGCATGCCCCAGCGCCGCTTACCTCCGTTTGTCCGGAAACTTCATTTTCTCGGGCGCCGCCATCTTGCCAGCGCCGCCACGCCCCCGAGAGGCGGCCGGAAGCGGTGGACGTCGGGAGGACGCGGCGGCGCGCCGCAGGCGCAGATGCCACCCGGTCTCGGGGCCGGCCCAACGCGGGCGGCGGGGGGAGCGAGTAGGCGGCTCGTCCTCCGAAGCCCTGCACGGGTGAACGTCTCCTTCCCGCGGGGCCCTCTGGGGCGCCTGCCGCTCCCTGGAGGAAATCCTCCCCTCTCGGGGCTCTCCCCCGGCCGCCCCGCGCTGGGGGGGTCCGGTGGCCAGAGGGCAGGGTCACCCGCCACTCTCGTTACCCTCTCCACTCACGAAAACTCCCCGCGCCCGGTCCCGCGCCCCAGCGCGCTCCCCGCCAGGCTCCGCCTCCCTCGTCGGCTCCACCTATCAGCGCCCGAGACGGAGCTCCAGACCCCGCCCCCTTCCATTCACAGGGACCGCGGCTCCGGGCGAGCCTAACTCCCCAGACCGCCCGGGTGCCTGTCTTCCTCTAAGCAGCTCACGATCTAGAGGCAGACAAGCCCGGGACGGACAGGAGGAGATGTGGTACCGGAAAGTCTGTTTCCTTAACGCAGTCCGACTGCGGAGTCCGGGAGAGCGCTCTGACGCCTGCGCCGAGTTTTGAAGGCACATAGCTTTCACCTAGGGAAAGGGTGGGAATGGAATCGCAGCTCAATCAGCGGCTGTGAAGGCACAGAGAGCTGAAACAATGTGGAACCTCGTGGAAACCACGAGAATTTCGGCCATCGAATTTAAAGGGCAACTCAAGAGTATCAAAGAATGGAGCGGCAGTGGTGGGCTGGGCTAGATTCTGGAGGAGGGCTTACGAGCAAAAAGTTCTGTGGGCAGCAGGGAACGATTGAAAACTTTTAAGTAGACTTGTGGTCATATTTGTGCTTTAGGTAAGTTGTTCTGGTTTGTAAGATAAAGGATGAGAAAATTAAGCTGGACTATCACCGTGATGTGAGAAGTGAGGAGGAATTAAATAGGCGCAGTCAGACTAGGGAATGACAAAGTAAAATATCAGCCCTGCTGATAGGACCGTGATGTACATGTACAAGGCCAGGAACAAGACCAAGAAACAATGTTACCCTCAAACTGCAACTGAAAATGTTCCTCTCTTCCAAATAAAATATTCCTCTATTCCAAATAAAAATTACTGAGTTACCCAATTATTAAACTCTCCCTACTTCCCCTAGTACCTCTTTGCAATGTTTCAGCAGAAGCCAAAATCTGCAGAAAGTCTTACCCTAATCCCTCTGACACAGCTGCGGTGACACATCTCCAAGTTGACCTAGTCCAGTTCAGTGCATCATTAATGAGGGTCATAACTTTGGAGTTGGGTGAGCTAGGAAACTCAAGCCTTGGTTGTCTGCTCTTGTGTAAATTCCTTAATGTCTAGTTGTAAGTTTTCTCATCTGTGAAAGTTGAGAGAGAAATCAAGTTCCCAAATGCATATGCTATATGTTGGTATAAGCCTGGCAATAGTGTCCCCAAAACATTAGCCACTATATCATCATCACCATCACCATCATCACTGCCGTGAAAGCCCCCCAAACCCCTCAAGAGTGGGTGAAGTACTTGTCCTAAGTGTGCCGCTAGCACAAGACTTCTACCTTTTGTAACACCTATCATGCTAGGTTTATAACACTTTGCTGCCTTCCCAAGTCTGCTGCTAATACTAAATTTTCAACTCCTTGGAGGTGGAGACTTAGCAGCTTCAGCCCCTAGCTAGAGAAGTCCTCACTTTTCACTTCATGGTGATAGTCCAGCTTTATTTTTTCATCCTTTATCTTACAAACCAGAATAATTTACATAAAACACAAATATGACCGCAAGTGTCCAAAAGCTTCCCAGCGGGGCCACATCAGAGTTTTCCTCACCACCAAGCTGCCTCTTCATGAATTCAGTTCCCCAATCCCACCTCGTTGCTTGAAAACCAGGAACGAAAAAAATGACACTGGATGATTCTGATGTTAAATAGAACATTTGGATTTTTGAAACAAAGAGAGAAAAATATGTAGTTGCACATGTCACTGTGTTACTGTTTCCTCTGACCAGGATTGATGCTGAGAATCTGCTTCCATTCTGAAAACATCAGTTTTTGAGTCCCTGTAACCTTTCTTATGACTTACACCAGACTTCCACCTTAGAACAGTAAGTAAGAAAGTCTTTTAGGAAGATACTCCTAATTAAAAAAAAAAAAAAGACAGATTTAGAATCTACTTTCTTATGATTTAGAAATGAATGCAAAATTTCCATTCATAGGAGTTAAATATTTATCTTCAACAATAACCGCTGAGTTCATTTTCATGAACAAGCTGAAATTGTTCAAGACAATTTCATTACAGAAGTTATTCTAAAAAACCAGTTCCATTTCCAAACTATAGTTACCATCATTTGAATTTGATAAATCGTAAGATAAAAATAAGGTATGTAAAATTTCATGTGAAGATACATTCTACTGTGATGCTCCAGTAAATATAACAGTTATCCTTATTCTGCATTGTAAGATATATTTTCTATTTTTGTTGGTTCCTAAAATACAGCATCTACTAAATACAGCATCTACATTCTCAAGAATGTATATTTCAGTTTATCCCCCACCCATGGAAAATGCCTAAGTTTTTATTTTATAGTGTCATTAGAAAATGGTCGATTACCTTTTAAAAATTTAAAGAAAATATCTTACTTATATCAAAATCTAGTATCAGTTATTATAAAATGACAAAAGACTGATCCATAAATGTATTTCTCATTGATTGCAAGCATAAAGGGAGAGCAAAGGAAAAGATGTCTACTCTCTGAAGGCCAGGTTGTTAGCCTTTCCATTAATTTGGCTCTTTCTTGCTCTGATAGGGCAGTGGTGGTGGGATTCCTGCATAAATTCTCAGGGAAGAACATTTCCTTTCTTACCTATCATTAATATTCCAGTGTTAGTCACCAGATTTATTCAAGGACATATGGTGGGGTCTCAAATCCTCTCCAACCCTTTCCAGCCCTCATTGCTATGCTGCAGGTTTCATATATTTTCCAGATTATAGCTATAGTTTAATATAGCAAAATGAGACACTTATGGTTGCATATTAACATGAAAAGTGCATGCAAATCTGTATTGATACACCAGCTTCAAAGATTTTGTTGGAGTACAGAACTATCCAGCGATACTTCATATTACTGATTCTTTTCTCTAGTGATAGACGTAGAGCAACAGCAGAAACAATGTTTTGAGAAGGAATGAAGGTAGAGAGATATCCCCACCCATATACCAAACCCAAGTGATGTTCCTGAAGGTGGTAAAATCAGAAGATTTGTTAAAATTTACATAGGCACAAGTGCCTTAGTCAGTCTGAGCTGCCATAACAATATGCTATAGCAGTTTATTTCTCAGAGTTCTAGAGGCTGGGGAGCTGCAGATTTAGTGTCCTCCACTTTTTGCAGGTGGATGCCTGGCTTTACAGTAGCCACCTTTACCCCTAAGTCATGTAGCTCTGGGGAAGCCCTGGTGACATACTGGTCACCAAATCGTGTACTGGCTCAAAAGAAGGAGGGGCGCTGAGGAGAAGCTGATTCTTTCCATCTCACCTTCTCTAATTCATCCCTGATGAGTACTCCAGTCATTTTGGAAAAAAAAATTAAAGATTTATTTTTATTTATTTATGCATACAAGAACTGGGGTGTAGGCCAGAGGTGATGGGGGTGAGAGGATTCACCAGAGACAGAGCGGGGAGCAGAACAGGCAGACTGACTGAAATACACTGCTGAGGGGAGCAGCGGGGAGCCAAGATAGGTCTGCTGTGCCATGTGGGTCACCTCCCTGGCCAGGGATCGAACTCAGGCCACACCGTTGATAGCTGATAGCGCATGACACTTAACCCCTAGGCCACCAGGGAGGCCCTCCAGTCACTTTCTGACCTCTACGTTAAAGGATGTCTTGAGAATTTTACAGACATCTCATATATTCAAGACAACTAACAGAAAGAAAGTCATTTGACAAATATGAATATTATAAAGAAAGGGTTTTATTAATCTAATATTGAATGAAGATGAGCAGCAATTTCAATAGGAAATTCTTTCTCAAGCCCTTTGACAGATCTCAAGTTCATATTCCCCTTCATGTCTCAGAAAGTACAAGGAAAACCACTTTTGTAAAAAGTGCTAGGGTGTATCAGTAGCCAGGGCACCCCTTGTCATATGACTAAGTCATTGAGGAAATCCCCAAGGCGGTTTCCATAACCTCTGCAGAGAAGGTGACCAAGAATTACCATGCAAGCTAGAACATGGTTCAGAATGAAAGGGGTGCTGTTAATAATTAAATCAGAATACCTGGTCTAAGTAAATCAGGGGAAGCAAACCGGAGCACACCCTGTAAATACAGCCCGTGTATCTCAAAGATGTTCTGGCAAGGAGGGTGTCTACACTAAGCTCTCCAATTTTGAAGTCTCACTGCAACAGAATTTTGCACTAAGAGTTTGCAAGAGACCTAGAGGGAAGCCTGTGTGCCCAGGAAAATGCATCTCTTGTGTGCTTACCCTCTTTAAAGCTAACTGTGGTTTGAGACAGATCAGTTATATGAAGTTAACATAAACTTCCCCACATTTATCTTTTTAAGAATTTTATTCATTTCCCAGGGCATCCCTTTTCCAGAGAAGGCATGTACTCTCAAAGCAAATGCCTTCACCCTCCCCTACTCTTTAGAGAAGAGCTATCCCCCCGAAATTGCACACTCCAATTCTGTTTTTATTTCCTACTAGGTTTATCATTTAATTGTGGTAATAAACACTACAGGTTTCCTCTGCTATCTGAAAGTAGAACATTCCTGTTTGGTAGGATTTGGTAGGTTATTGGGGTGGGGGTAGAATCTGGGAATGCTATTACTATTAATTTATATGGACAAAAAATTGAGTATTCCTAGATCCCAAAAATAACCTACCAAATTCTGCCAAACAGGAACACTTTACTTTCAGATAGTGGAGGGAACCTGAACATAAAAACTTACCATCTTAACGTTTTCCAGTGCAAAGTTGAGTAGTGTTAAGTATATCCTGTCAACATTGCCTTGCAGGCTACCAGATGACTAGATATTAATGAAAAAATAATGCTAGTTTATGTAATGAGTCTGAACACAGGCTTATAGGCAAGTAGAAACATTCCAGGATACTTACAGACAAGGCAACAGTGGCATGGATTCCTCAAAATACATAGAATTATCTAGATTTTTTCCTAATCTGACAAGTATTATTCCCTATTACTGTAGCAAAAGTCTTCTAACCCACTGTATCAATTTGGGGACACATTGATCACCTGCCATGCACAGAACCTTGACTAATAAAGTTCAGAAAGTTTTGAAGGGAATCCAAGACAGTACTGTCATGGTAGAAAATATTATCATATTCTATGAAACGGAATACAGATAATGCATATTAATACTAGAAATTATAGACTAATATATTACTAGTCTTTTGAAAAATATTTCTGTGAACACATCCTGAAACAATTTTAAATCCTAGGCACTGTAAGCATTTTCTTGAAAATGTTCTGCATAGGCTTTCTATGTGACCAGTCCTTTAAGGTGAGTAAAATATACCTAAAATCATGGCCAGGCTTCAGCCAGGATGTACCAGTCTGGGCCTTAAGGCTGTCTCCGAAAGGCTTGCCTTCTGAGGTGCCGTCCCAATTGTTAAATACTTTAATCATCATCATCTCTACTTATAACTCTATAGAACCACTAATTGACAAACACAAAAGCACAGCTCAAAACATCAGACATTAAGACATTACAATTACCAACAAATTGCTGTAACAAAAACCTGTGTGTCTTGTTGGCCTCTTCGGGTGATATACATCATCAATAAAAACAAGAATTTGTTTATTCACCAGCATTCCTCGATGAGGGAGCACTGCCGTACCCAGAAATGCTTATCTATAAATTATTATTAAATGCAGGCACTTAGAATAGTCTAGTTAATTTTTTGAAAAGCTAGTATGTACAAAAGCAAAATACTGCCTTGATGTGCGTTAACTTAGGGGGTCACTTGGCTGGCCGAGGGCTTGGGTTTCACTTGTATATTCAGCACGTAATCGTGACGGAAGGACGAACGGACAGTGCGGTTCATGAGGGGCTGCAGAGGGCGGAAGTTGTCAACCATTTTTTTCTCTTTCTCCCCCTCAGAAGTGAAAAGCAGGGTCCGAAACTGCTCAAGCTAGAAATAGAAATAGGAAACATAAATAATGTCAGTGGAAAAACAGCTTTACACCAAGAATAAATTACTTTCATTTTTACAACTCTGAAACACTGGATCCGGAGAAGTGATTTTTGGGGAGAACACGTTCACCTGTGGACGGGAACTAAGGTGGAGGGGGCTTGTATGGAGAAAAAAGCAGCAGGAGGTGGTGAAACCAGTGGGCCCCTTGGATCCAAAGACTGGGTGGGGGTGGTAGGCTTGTCCCCCACATACTAGCTTAGGTGTTGGCCAAGAATGAGTTACTTCCTTTTCAATTCTCAGGAACCTCAGCTTTCCATGGGCAAAATAGCCAGCTACAGAATAACAGAAGAAAGAACTGAAAAAATGATTTGTGTTTTTTTTTTTAATTTAGTTGAGTCATTACCATACACAATATAGTCTTTATTGCTCACTGCACCTGGGCACTGTAGCAATTTATGTGAATGTATCAACCCCCCACCATCACTGTCCAGGAGAAAATTCCATGATGATGGAAATGTCCTCTGCATGTTCATGACAGCAGCTACAAGTTACATATAGCTGCCAGAAAGACGACCAGAGTGACTGAGGAACTGAATCTCTAATTCTAATGTACTTCTGTTTCATTTTAAATGGCCTCCTGTGGCTGGTGGCTAACATATTTGGACAGTGAGGCTCAACACAAAAGGAACAATCGAAGATCAAGGGCTTGTTGGCTACCGTGGCAATAGCATCAATCAATAGCCCCTTAGCTTTCTGTTTTGGAACACTTGACTTCAGGCCAGCCAGAAAATCTGTTCATGCCATTTCCCGTCACTCAATAAGGCCCGCTGTAAAGGACAGCCAGGGCACAGCGGGCAAGCCTGTGAAGATTTGTTTGGATCAAAAACTTCAGGCCAATGGGCCACCCCTGGTGGCACAGGCGGTTGAGTGCAGCGCTGTGAAGGTGTCCACAGCCTCTACAGCGCAGGTTCAATCCTGGCTGGCCGGCCAGCGAGGGTCCCACATGGCGTGCCAGACCTCTCCTTTCTCGCCTGCTGCTCCCCTCAGCAGTGTATTTCGTCAGTCTGCCTGTTCTGTTCCCAGCTCTGTCTCTGGTGAATCCTCTCATCCTCCCGCACATCTGGCCTGTACCCCGGCTCATGTATGCATGAATAAAGAAATCTAAAATAATAATGATAATTTAAAGAAATTCCTAAAAAAAAACTTCAGGCCAAGTAAGGCCTCAGAGGCAGGACTGGACCAATACAGTGACTGTACGTGCAAGTCATATACTCTCATTCACTAGAAATACATCCGAGTAAGTAAGATATATTTTTATTCAGCTAGCTGAAAAAAATTAGAAATAGCCCAAATACCAGTAGTAATTTATATTAGCCCCATAAAATGAACTAGCACATAGCCATTAAAAATGATATTGAAGATCAAGTTTATCACCTATAAAATGTTCCACACATCACTGAGTGAATAGAACAGCAAAATGTTATGTACAGAATGATTCCAAATTTTCTTTAAAATAATTTTATCTATACATTTGTATAGATAAAAGACAAGGTTTTATGTATCTGTATACACGAATGACTGGAAGAATTTACTCAAACAATGATTAGCAATGAGTGGTAAGAGTATAGGCAATCAGGATTATAGATAACAGCTAACGTCTTTTTTTCCCCTTTTTTATATATTTTTACATCATTCTTCATTTTTGTACAATGCATGCTTTCTCATCTCGGTCATAGTCCCCATGAAATTCCCACCACCAGTTCACCTGTGTACCATCACCATAGTCCCTTGTGCTTTTCCCGTCCCTGTTTTGTAACATCTTTTTCTTACTGAGCTTTCTTTGTTGAAATTTTATTTGGGAAGTCATCACATGGGCCACTGACCCTCTCATTTATGGATTTTGTACTTTATTTTTCAGTGTTATGTCCATTTTAATGTGGTGATAGTGCACGGGTAAATGGGTGAAGGAAATTCTATGAGGACTACACCTGAGGGGTGGGTGGGGGGGCAAACATTGTTTAAAAATGAACAATGATGTAAAATATATATAAATAAATAATAAAATAAAATATGAAGCAGTGTAACAAACTGAATGTATAGGTCACCAAGCCCAGACCTACAGGCAGTCATACTCTGTATTTTGTCATTTGATTTTGATGGTTTTCATCACAGCATTTTGAAAAATTATGAGGTTTTATTTAATAGTTGCTTTCTTTATGACACCTGGTTTTGATACAACCTGTAGTTTACAAAGTTTCCTCCATTCCTGGAGGTTTTAAAAGATTTTCTGTGGGCCTCCCTAGTGGCGCAGGCAGTTGAGCGCTGCACTGTGAAGCTGTCCGCAGCCTCTGCAGCGCCGGTTCAATCCCGGCCGGCCAGTGAGAATCCCACATGGCACCGCAGACCTCGCCTGTCTTGCCCGTTGCTCCCCTCAGCAGTGTATTTCAGTCAGTCTGCCTGTTCTGTTCCCCACTCTGTCTCTGGTGAATCCTCTCACCCTCCCATGCATCTGGCCTGTACCCTGGTTCTTGTATAAATAAATAAATCTTTAAAAAAAAAAAAAAAGATTTTCCTGTGCAGTCTTCAGTCTGTAGTTTATCTATTTTTTGGTCCAATCTTTGAAGGGTGTTGGTACCACAGGTTATTGGTACCTAGTTTCATAAAAAAGATTTTGAAATCTTTTGTTTTTGTGACAATACTTTGTAATTAATAAAAGTCCCTTATGGCAAGTATAAGCATTACTGTAGTTTAGTTATATTCTGAATTACACAGGATTTGGGGCATTGAAATGTTAATCACCTCCTCCTAAATGTAGTTTCTAAGGAAAAAAATAAACTTTAACTTCAAAAGAATTGACTTAATATAAAATTTCTGGACAGACATTGCTGGATTCTGTTTTTATCCTGAGATTCCAGAGAAAGATTCCCTTGAGGATTTTAAAAGGTTTTTAAACACAGCCATTCCCAGCCTTCATTCTTCCATTTAAAAAGAACTTGTTACATAGAGATTCATATTTATGTAAAAAAAAAATGCCTAAAACAATCTATCATTGTCAAATATGGAAGTAAAAATAAAAACCTTGTTTCCTGTTTTAACTCTTCCCTCTAGTTAATCTGAAGCATTTCCTAACTCATATTCAAATTAAGATGTTTGCGAATTTTAATAAAAATGTATAAGCATGACAAGATGTTTCAGGTGCTGCCCAAGTTTGAGCCGAGCCTAGTCTGACAGGTGCAGACTGGAATTTCCTGATGCAGAAATGTGGAAAGAACGTACCTGGTCATGGTCAACCTCCACCGGCTGCTTCTTAATGATCCAGGTGACGGACTCAGAGGAGCGGCGGGGTCGTCAGGGACCCGAGTAGGTCCAGTAATCGGGGCAGGTGGGCATCAGACAGGAAGGGTCGAACGACCCAAACTCCACAACGGTGTCCTGGCCAAGGGAAGAGGTCACGCAGTCACCAGTTAGTGGCTGAAGCCACTCAGCAGCGGGCTGGAGGGGTGTTTGGGCACCGCACTGGCCGGGAGGAGCTCCAGCCCCTCTGGGCAACTTAGGACAGACCCAAGCAGTGCCCAGCAGAAGCCAACGTCACCCCCCACTCTAGTGAACTTGGGGCGGGTGGTCTCTGCACTTTGGCTAAGTCATGGCAGCTGGTGCATAAAAAGGAGGCTTAGGCCTCTCTTTTTCCAGAGAGCCTAGTAGAATCCTCCCTTCTACATTGCAATGCAAATTGAGAGGAGCCAGGGCCCTGGGCTAAGAGGGGCAAAGGGTGGGGGAGGGAGAAGGGGAGAATGCATGGACTTCCAGGAAGCAGCCCCTTTGGATGCTGGATGCTGAACAGTTAACCTGGGGGTTGGACAGAGGTACCCACCCTGAAGGGCACAGCGATGGCTCCTCAAAGCTGGACAAGTGAAGTGATTGCCAAACATCTCTTCTGGAAGGCAGGGGGTAAGAGGCACACAGCTGCTCTGAGTGCTCCCAGGAGACCAATGAAAGGGGCAGACAAGGGGCCAGCGCTGTGCCCCCGAGTCCCCAGTGCTCAGGGGCATGGCAGCCAAACCACAGCGGCTGGTGCCCACCCCGGGAATCCCTTCTGCCCCTGGCGAGGCCTCCCAGCGCCAGGGCATGTCAATGCCAGCATCATAATGGTGAGTTGTCGTCTAGGGCAGCTTTCAGGGAGACCCTGAGCACAGTTCACTTTAGGGACACTTCCCACCTGCGAGTGCCTTGCCAGTGTCTCCACTCAGAGCTGGAAATAACATGTATTTCAGGTGATTCAAGGGGAAAACATTACCTTATGCTTAATTGATGGCAAAGTATCCACCAATTTCTGTAGGCCTTGATGATGTTTGCCTAGCTAAAGAACAACAAATGAGAAAATATGAAAAACAACTGACATCTCGCTATAGAAAGTAAATTAAAATTAACCACCTGGCAATTAGATAAAAACAAACCAAGCAATGTAAGCAACATTTAAACTGGTAATTTAGAATATTACAAACATCACTGTGTCAAATTAGACACAGGAAAAAATGAGCAGACTGTTCGCGAAAGAGGTCAGGTGCCTGAGGGAAATGCGCCCCTGTTTGTTTTAAAGATCAGTTCTTCCATTGAAAATTACACTAATTAATAATAGAAATGGTTCTACACTCAAGTGCCACATGTGGTTAGCAACTTTTCTATTGGGCTGTGCATTTTTATACCATTTAAAATATATTCACCACAATCTTGTCATTTAACTATGATTTATTTTTATCCCAATATGCTTACAGCTTAGAGTGCAAGGTTATATCTTTTCATCCTAGAATACAACACATCATTTAAAGTTGGTAAGGGTTTTCTTTTACCTTTAAAAACACCCCTATCACTGCCAAGCCATTTTCTTCCAGTGCTGCATCCTCAAAGCTTTCAAATTTGACTGCATTCCAATGCACCAGGTGCAGCTGAAACAGGGGGTTAACACTGAACCATAGAAGACGGTGCCAAAACAGACAGCCTGATTCAACATATGATATTTTAATGTGTTTCCTCACCCAAAGTAAGGTCACCTGAAAGGTACAGGACAATCTGGTGGAAAGTTAGAAATAATTGCAGGAGTAGCAATGAATATTACTTCGGAACAGAACGATTATTTGGAGAGAAATAAAAGAAAATTCATATAGCAACGTGGGTAGCATTTCAAGGAAGGATAAACATTTGTGCATTCCCATCATTATTTGCAGGAAACACTCATATCCAAAATCTATTTGCCTCTAAAGGAGCGATGTTTATAAAATATCTTTGAAGGAATTACACAGGAGTTGAAGACAAATTTCTTTGAAGGATAATCACTTAATATGTGTTTCTTTTAAGGGGATATTTAAAACTGTATTAGGGGGAAATTGTAAGAAGAGATTTTATTTCCTTATACCCTCCCGATAGTCCCCTACATTGACCTCAAACAGAAGCAATCGGTTATTCCAAGATGGTCTATTCTGAAACAAAGCAGTGCAGAGAGGGCCGATTGGAGAGTGCTTTGTGGCAGACTCACATACACGTCCCCACATCCACAGCTAAAATCTCCTATATGAGCTTTTGGAGAAGCCCTGGCCCCAGTCGCCCCCTCCCCAACTTAGAGGCCTTTCCTAGGAGCTCCAGAGATATTCCCACTTCTTCACAGTTGTCACTGTTCCCAAGTTCTCAACATACCTCTGCTG